TTTGAGTTCTACTACAGTTTGCATACATTTTCTTATCTATGCTTGATAGTTTTATACAATTTTTTTTTTCAGCCACCACCAGAAGAGTTAATGGCAGTCTCAGGTCTAAATATTTCCTGTTCTTGATTATTTATAAGTTGACTTTTCAAGACTATTTTTAGCCTTTAAATTTAATACTTCAGTTTCCTTTTACTCTGATTAATGTAAGAGGTTTCAGCAGTATTACCAATGAAATATCCCATATTTTAATTTTTGTTAAAATTCTTCAGGTAAGAAGTTGAAATTGCTGAAAAACATATATACTTAAATTTTTGTGATCTAATTACTTTTGCTATGCTTGATACTAATTTGTATGAATAATTAAGATAAATAATGATGGCATGTAATTAATCTCTTAAGATAAGGAACAGGATGTTGGTAGCAAATTATAACTGAGATATTGCCATTGAATCTTTGGCGCTTAACAAAAAGTACACATTAGAATCATCTCTAGAATTTATTAAAATACTATTGTCTTGATTTTTTTCCTACTGTGTTCTTATTCTGTTAGTAGACATTGGGTCCTTTAGTTTTTTAATGTGCTATAGGTAATTTTGATGCTCAAGTTCAATTAAGAACCAGTATTATATGGAGAACACTTTCCATATTAAATTTCAGCATATGTTTTTCACATATATTACTATATATTTTTCATATATAATATCATTTTTTTTTTACTCCAAGCAGAATTGATGAGAAATAAAATAATTACAGAAGTAAGAGAACGAATATTGTAACACTTTGGCGACCAAAAAGGTCAATCTGGTAAGGCTATGAATGATTCTATAGAAAAATAAACACATTCAGGTCTTCAAATGATGAATCAAGATTTTTTTTTAAAAAAATGACCACTGGTAACTAATGGTTATGCACTGATACTCAATGTAAGCAGTGGGATTAAAGACATTTGTGTATTCAGATACTAAAATCCTTCTATTGCAAATTTAAACATAATAAGATGAAGGCTACGTCAACCAGTTTGATAAAAATATTTCAAATGGTATATAAAACTAGCACATTGTACCCCATAATTGCATTAATGTGCACAGCTATGATTTAATAAAAAAATGTATATTTTAAAAAATATACCCTCCCATATCATAAACTTATTTTTCCTCATCTTCTTATTCTCACCTCTTTATAGTTCCACTATGTTCTGTCCTCCTCTTTTTCTCCATGTGAGACTTCAGCTTTCCAGTAGGTCTGTTCAGTCCTGTAGTGGTACAAAGGACAAAAAGAGCCTTGCCCAGTATTTGGTTCCTGTAGGCTTCATTTCAATTATTGTCACGACGGGTCCCCAAAGACACATGAACCTCAGAGAGCTATTTCATGTTAGTTAGAGAGTTTAAAAGGCCAATTTGGTGACACCCAATGATTTATAAGAGAAAAATGCTATTTGCTGAGGCATAACCCTTAGCCCATGAATCTATGTCCTTATTTGGGTACTCTATGTCTGAGGTACTGCACCTCACCACATTACTGCTTTGGGGAATGCTTTTAATATGAGATATATACATATCATATTTTGTAAATACACTCAGGAACTGATGGGTACTTGGGTTAAAGAATGGAAAAACCTATACCACATATACTTGCTATTAAACTGATACTAACCAATGAGCACAGCTGTGCCCAATGTGAAGTAAAACTTAATGAAATCAAATAGGAATGAATGGGAGAGATGGGGATGGGTGAAACCTACCTAATGGTTACAATGAACACTAACTGGGTGATGGGCACACTTTTGACCTGGACTTAAGCATTACAAAATTGATCCATGTAGCTAAACACATTTCTACCCTGATAATATTTTGTAGTAAAAAAAAGAAGATAGAAAATTACTATATTCAATAGAAAAGGCATAGAATATTTAAGAAGTGGTATTGAAACAGTGGGTTAATCATCTAGAAAAAATAAAGAGTAAAATGTAAAGATATAATTGGTAAATATATATTGTTTCCTTACATAAGGCTGAGGATTACAGAGAATAAATCTAACATGTTCGTCACATTTAATGAATGAGTAGATTTTAAAAAGAGATGAAAATAAGGCATATGCATACATCTAACCATCACATTACACTTTGAACATATATAATCTTGTCAATTAAAGAGATGTTTAAATAAATACACACACACACAAAAACAAACAAAAAGAATGATTTCTTATATTGGCCTTCAGCTATCTGTCTCTATGAAGAACCTAGTGACATCCCATAGAGACCTACAGGACGTTCAGATCCCTGAGGGTACGTGGTTCCTTTCCAGCTTGGGTCATGGTGAGGATTTAAAGGTTCAAAATTTCCATTTCAGTGGTATTAAGAAGGATGAGGTGAATATATGACTGGAAACACGAATTATTATAAAACAGAAAGCAAAACAAACAAAAAACTGGCACAGATTCATAGGTTGGTCACAAGTAGATGATGGCATTAGGGGAAATGAGGATTTATTTCTGGGTCAGGACAGGGTCTTCCAAAACCTCACAATGCAGATAAAGTTACAGCTTTTAAACTGTTGTTATGTAAATTCCACATGGAGATGCAGATTTTCACAATGACAATGAGTTGATAGGTAGACTCTAGATTTGCTGGGGTTTGAGCTTTGGTTTTGAGGTCACAATGGGCTTATCTAGAACATCAAACTGCAAGGGTAAATGAACTTCCTATGGGCAAAGTTCCTCATGAAGAGATGGGCTTGAAGAGACTAAGCAAGTAATGGAAATGGGTGAAGCAGGCCAAGAGTAAGAAAAACCATAGTAATGATACGATGGAAAGCACACATCCTGATTATGGAAGTAGCTACTATATTAGTTGGGATGACTCTGCTGTAAATAAAAGAAAACTCAACTCAGTATGGCTTAAATAACAAGGAAAATTCAGTGATATCAGATAACAAGACACCCCCCCATGTGGGGTTATTAACTAACAGTTCATCACTTTTCAGCCTTCTAGCTAATATTAAGTATAATATTAATCTATCAATTTAATGACACAATTCAAAATCCAGGTTATAGTCTTTTCATCATAATTCTCCATTTTATTCACTGTATTATCCTTGCCTTTCTACCCACAGCTTGGCTGCATAAGTACCGGATAAAATATCTAGGTGCCACTACCCAGATGAAGGAATGAAGACGTATTTTCCAGAAATTTCCCAACATACCTCTTCTCTTGCTTTACAAGGAAAAAGGGAGGGGAGTGTATCAACTCCTCTCCAAATTAACTACCAGTAATCATTATTAGGAATGATTAGAGTGACAGGGATTTATTCATGAGATGGAGTTAGAATCTTTTTTCCTAAAAATAAACAGGGGAACAAAATTTGGGTTCTAAAAATAAGGAATAGGGGAGATACGTGGTAGGCAAACAACAGTGTTTGCTCCATCCCCTTCAACTAAGCCAATGGTTGCTATGGGCAATGTGACTCCAGTGTTGACAAAGCACCTGTTTACTCTTAAGAAGCTGGGAACGTGGATGTTTATGCAAGATCTTCCAATTTTTAAATATAAGCAATACATCCAAAACATTTAAAAAATACTATGTTGGCCAACATCATTCAGACCAAATAAAATACATCTGCATTCCAAACATGACCTACAGCCTACAAGTCACTAGTTTGCAAGCTCTAGTTTATATTACTAATCTGTTTCACTAAAATTTTCTCTGTTAGAAAATGAAGTCCACTTTAGCCCTGACAGTAACTGAATTATACAAATATCAATGATAGAACATTTTTTTAATTAATTAACTTTTACTCAGTTGTAGAAAATCTCACATGACATAGCTAATAAGTATTTCAGAAGATAATTTAGGAAAAAGATATACAAAACAGAGGATGTTTACATAATTTTCTTCTTAACTGGGGACTCCAATTTGACAAATTAATGGTTAAAAGAATCAAGATGTTGTTACTAATTTAATAATGATGCTATAATTTTTCTCTTGTTTTTCCCAGTTTCCTGTGATTTTTTTTGTTTTGTTTTCATTAGAGAGTAAATTACTGCCTATCAAATGAGAAAATCAAAGTATTCAAAATAGTTAACAAACATTAGTCTATATCACTGCACAAAAGTAGAGTTGTCTAGTACCATCATCCAGTTAGAGAAGCAAGCTTCAGAAATATTCCTTTAGAGTCATCTTCCTTCTTATGAGTACGGATAATAGAAATTTTCAATTCATAGAAAGATTCTCTATGCCTCTCTTGAAAAATTTTATTTATCACTTCAAAATATTAACTTGACTGTCAAGAACAAAGAGCAGTGAGAAAGTAAGTGTATTTATTTCCTATTCCAATTGTCCAATCTTCGAAGTTGACCATTTACCCATCCATTCTGGCTTAGCTGTTGCTTCAGACTTTGGGACTTGAGTGCTAAAAAAGAAAAAAAGACTCTTAAGTAATCAACTTTCCTTCCAAATTTAGACATTCTATGCTATATAAGTTTGATTTAGGTATTCTATACCATGAAACTATGAATTCTTTTTTTAAAAGAAGAATTGATTTCTCTTTAAAATCAATACTCTGGGGTCACATTTTCCATTTTATAGGTTATTTGATAGAGCAACAGCAAAGAAATGAAAACACGGGATGGAAGTTGAGAAAAATACCATGAACTGTCCAAATATCCATCTTGGCAATTACATAGTATGGAGAGAATGAAGGACCAGGAGAAGGGTTAGGGGAGATTGGGTCATTACTGTACAAGATATTTCCTCCCATAGACTATTCATCCTTAGGGAATATTTCTGAGAAAATGAAGATATTGTGTCATCACAGCTTTATAGCTGAGATGCTTTCATCTCCCTTTTCTTGGTTATTCGCCAGATTGAGAAGCTAGACATTTATGTTAGCACCCACCCTATAATCATATAGATTCTGTTCTTAATAAACCTCTAAGAAGACAACTGAATCTTCTTTCCCAGATACTAGGAGATTATAATAATTTGGCCATGGATCTCTTACCTTTGGTGTAGACATTGGCTTATTCTTGAAAACAATAGAGGGGATTGCTTTTGTGTCTTTGTGCTATATTAGACACAAAAATAATGGTATGTCATTAGAAATGCTATTTTTTCCATCGCATCTATACTTATTTTGTTAATGAAATTATTCCTTACCTCCTCTTCATTCATTAAATTGTATGCAAATGTCGACTACTCAGTCAATGGATCTTCTTCCTATTTCACCCCCTCCAAACCCATTCATTTTCTCCTCAGCATGTTTTTCTTGTTAGCATCATTTTGGCACAAACAGTATTTGAGGCACTAAGTGTTCCATGTGTATATTACTTTTCTTTTTTGTATATAACTTGTTTTCTCACTAAAAATGTAAAATGTCTTGAAAAAAAGGAACTTAAATTTTAGTTCTTTTTGATATACCGACAGCAAAGTACCAAGCATGAGAAATATGCTCAGAAATCAATTAATGGGTGAATGAATTCTATTTTTACTTCATAAGTACCTGATTTTTATTACACATTTGCCTGTGTGTGGTCTATTTTTCATAATCTATCTCCTATGCAAAACTGTGACTAATAATATTCCTTATTCTACCTATAATAAATAAGAAAGTAAAATACCACTTATAATACAACTTTATATTCTCTAAGCATCTATAAATGATCCTTTGAAAAAGATATTTATCTCATACAATATAGCTATTTTTTCTCAATAATTACATGACAATTGAACTTTTTTCATAATAAAAAAATTAATATCCATATTAATTCATAGGTAGTTGGCCTTGCTTTTTCCAGCATCATGAGGATATGCTGTGATATGTCAGTTTAAACTTAAGAGCACATATCCTGATAAAGAACCCATGAATTTAGAGACAATATTCTCAGTAGGTGCAAAAGACATTTTAAAAAAATACCAGTGACCATATGATGATACTTACAAGAAAAGAGGATGATGCAGATGTAGGAATTGGTGGTGGTGGAAAATCTGGCTTTGTAATTAGCTAGTAAAAAGATAAAAAAAAAATTAATTCAAAGAGAGAGCCCTAAAAACAGATGTGCTTAATAAACGGCTTAAATCATTTCCAGAAATGGAGGATTATTCTACATTTGTGAGTTCAATTGCTTTCAATGCCAACAGGTTGCTATGGAGTGAATGTTTGTGCCTTCCCATTCATACGTTGATGCCCCAATCCTCTGCTGTGATGGTATTTGAAAGTGGGACCTTTGGTTGGAAGTAATTAGGCAGTGAAGAAGAAGCTCTCATGATAGGATTAATGGCCTTATAAGAAGAGACACAAGAAATCTCCCTCTCTCACACCCCCTTCTCCCTGTGAGGATACAGTGAGAAGGCTACTGTCTATAAACCAAGAAGCAGGTTCACACCAGCCACTGGACTTCTCAGACTTTCCAGCCCCCAGAACAGCCTCCAGAGAAGTAAATGTTTGCTGTCTAAGCCACTCAATCTGTGCTGTTTTTATTGTATAGCTGAACTGATTGAAACGGGCTCCCTCTTAAGCAGGTTGATGCTCTTCATGGTTATCAGCTTCCCCGCTCTAATGTTCAGGTTTAGGGATTAAATTTTAGGATTGTAATGGGTAGTTATTCTCACATTTTTAAAAAGTTTTACAGAAGAATTCACATATTAATGTTTATAGATTATAACATTCTTCTAAAGAAATGATTCAGTATTGTGGGTTATGTCTTTCACCAGAATTTTCCTAAAGTTGAACTAGAGTGATATCAAGAAAAGTTGCTAACTCACAAAAGAAACTGGAGGTTCATTGCCTTCTACTGGCAGATCAGACACAGGGAGCTTCATCTGACTCATCTAAAAAAAAAAAAAAAAAAAGATGTCAAAATAAAATCTTCAGTTTCTAAAATACAGCTTTTAAGGAAGCTATTCTTTGAAGGCATCAGAGCTTGGAATTAAACTGACCCTAGAGACCAAATAGGAAGTCACAGTGACCCAGCTGTTGGGTTCTATAGAGCTGTGATCTCCAATTCCAGGGGCACAGACAGTACCAATCTGTGGCTTGTTAGGAACCCATTCCCATAGCAGCAGGTATGTGGCAGGATACATCTGTATTTATAACCTCTCTGCATTGCAGGCATCACTGCCTGAGTTCCACCTCCTGTCATATCAGCAGGGGCTTTAGATTCTCACAGGAGTGCAAACTCTACCGTAAACTCTGCATGCAAAGGATCTAGGTTGCCTGCTCCATGTGAGATTCTAAGGCCCCCACCCCACCACAGTCCATGGAAAAATTATCTTCCATGAAACCAGTTCCTGGTGCCAAAAAGGCTGAGGATTGCTGCTACAGAGTATTTCTCAGAGTTGTAAGAAAAAGTTTTCATCAAAAACATTATTACCGATGTTACTATCATTAACCAACTTCAGCTAAAACCTCTAAACTTATAGGCCATGACAAGGATATTAACAGTTGTACACATTACATATATTATCATACACATATACTTATTATTATATCCATTGGGAAATTTGCCAAAGAAATAAGGAATCAACGTGGAGCCAGAGAAGAAAACAGAGAGACAGAGAGAAAAACAGAGTGAGAGACAGACATTCAGACACCTGGTGTTGTGCTTTCTTGTTCTCTTTATTCTCTTTTATTTCATGAATCCCAGCAAAGTAGGCTCTACATTTTAGGGATTCTCTTTTGCATTTAACAAAGGCAAGGCATAACTTTCAGAATGGAGTTACTGAGTCCACAATCTTTGCTATGACCTATGTAGCAAACTGTATTTATAAAACACTCCTGGAGTAGAAATGACAAAAACACGGTTAGGATAGGAGAGTGAACCAACCACAAATCAGGGCCATGGTAAACACACAATCCAACTATCATCACCTGTTGGGGTTGAACAACCTCCACTGCCTGCAGTCTCATCTTTTGTTTGTGTGGCCTGGCTCCAGGGGCGGGCCGTGACCTGTAATTAAAAATGTATCATATAAATGGACTTAGCAGCTACTTCAGCATGACGGGGAAACTAAACAGAAGATTACAACATCCTTTCCTCATTTGGTCATCCTTGGCTATTGCCTGGGTTTTTATCTGCCCCATAAGACATTCTTCAGCTTTTAGTTCTCTATTAGTCACTGTCATTATCCTATAACTCAAAATCACGCCCCCCCCAATTTTATTTCTGATTCTTTACAGAGCCCTGATTCCTAATAATGGTGGTAAGTGGTGATGAATCCAGTTTTTATCTAAACTGTATTATTTCACTAGTGGTTTCCTTCTTCATTTAACATTATTAAAAACTCCTTATGGGTAAGTCAGTCTTTAAAAATGCTAAAATGATACTTTTGTGTCAAAATCATGTTTGTAAGACAAACAGATGAAGGTATAAATCAAGGTTTCATCATTTACTTTGAAGGCCTGAAAAAAATAATGTGTGTTAACCTCTGAGCCAGTTTCCACATCAATCAAAACGTGAAATCCCTAATCTTTTGGGACTGTGTAAGGACTAATCTAACACCTTTGCATCTGCAAAATGGAGCTAATAAAGTTAAAATAAAAAACCTCATAAAATTTCTGGTTTTTTTTTTTTTTTGCAGTTTTGCCGGGGTTGAGTTTGAACCCGCCACCTCTGGTACATGGGGCCATCACCCTACTTCTTTGAGCCACAGGTGCCGCCCCCTCATAAAGTTTTTGTGAAGATAAAAAGAGGTAAAAGAATAAAAGGACTTAACATAGTATTCGTCGTCTAATTAGTGATCACTAAATGCACTTATAATAAATGTAAAAATCTTTCATAATGAGAGTTAATATCACTCTTTGTATTTATTATAAATACAATGATTAGTAGTTGAAAAAAGATACATTTCTTGCTGTGAAAGATTTTGTAGTAAAAGAGATATCTAGCCTCTGGTCCAAAAAGATTGCATTAGTATGTATTTCTGAATATGTGAAGTCAACCAAAATTAAATTTGAAAGGTTAGGTCATACTCTTGAATTAAAGTAAAACAGGGGTCAAACAGTCCCCAAAGGGAGGTAAAGGCTTACTTCTGAACTCTCTTCTGCTTTCCTCTCAAGTTCTGGTGCCAGATTACTATAGCAACCACCAAAGATACGACCGCCACTGGGAACAGCACCCCAACCACAATGGAGAAGTCTGCAAAAAAGAGAACGGGGGTCAGCATTTCACATTTACCAAGCACGCTAGTTCTTATTTACTCAGAGCAAATACTGTTAACCCTTTCCCCAATGAACATGCATTTCCTGGAAAATCTCACATTGCCAGTAAAATAAAAGTGTATTTTTTAACCTCTTTTTAATTAAATCATGATATATTACTACTTAGCTAGAGAAAATAAAGAGGGAATCTATAAGATTATGTGATATGAGATAAGTAAATAATTGCATTGCTGGGAATGCTTACAAGGAATGATATTTGCAGATACTTGAAAATGAAAAGCTGGGAGATCAGAAGAGAATGAACAGTAAGGGAGGAAGGCAAAGAGAAGAAATGAAACATTTTTTGAAAAGCGGTCTTGTAATCAGAGAAAAAGAAACTGAATCTTAAAAATACACTGCGGTTAGTAGTAAATAAGGAACTGAGGCATGAGTAATGGCAGCAATAGAGACAGAACCAAGTGTTACACTGATGTTTGTTCTATGTTATAATTCTTGTGGATACAAAGGAAGTTATGTGACCTTGTGGATTGGGGAACGGCTTGAACAAATAGGAATCTGGGTCTAGACGATGTTTTCTCTTTTACTAAGTAATGAATGAAACTTCTAGCTTTTGTTATCTCAAATGGTCATCTTTCTTATAATAATCTGAAACCACAAGAGACCAGGAAGTACAAGTTTGGAGAGCAATATAAACAATGAAACATAATTTTTTTTTGGATTAATATGCAGGTATAAACGACTAGGTTACAATGTTTGCACTTGTTAGGTAAAGTCCAAGTTATAGTTGAGTCCTTCACCCAGGAGGTCTACCATATGCCCCTACATCGTGCCCATTAGGTGAAAGCACATGAATCCCCCTCCTTTCTCCCTTGTCCTTCCTTCCCTCTCCCCTTTACTTGAATTTGTGTTTTTTTCTTGTGTGTAGTTGTTCATCTACTAGTTTCATGTCAGTATTGAGTACTTTGGATACTTGCTTTCCCACTGAGTACTTTGTGACACCTTACTTAGGAGGATATTCTCCAAATCCTTCCAGGTATACAAAAGATATATAGTCTCCATTTTTCTTTACGGGTGAAAATTCTATGATGACATACACCATAGTTTACTTATCCATTGATGAGTTGATGGGTAATTGGGTTGTTTCCACAACTTGGTGATTATTATTTGAGCTACAATAAATATTCAAGTGCAAATGTCATTATGGTGAAAAGAGGTTTTTTTTTTTTTTTTCTTCTGGGTAGATACCTAGTAAAGGAATTATGGGATCTGAGGACTCTCTATACTTCTTTCCAAAAAGGCTGTATTTGTTTGCAATTCCACCAACAGTGTAAAAGGGTTTTCTTCTCTCTACACCCGCATCAGCATCTGTAGCTTTGGGGCTTTGTGATGTGGGCTATTCTCACTGGGGTTAGGTGATATCTCAGGGTGGTTTTGATTTGCATTTCTCTGATGATTAAGGGTGGGGAGCATTTTTTCATGTGTTTGTTAGCCATTGGTCTGTCTTCTTGGGAGAAGTTTCTCTTCATGTTTCTTGCCCAGTGATAAACGGGATTGTTTGCTCTTTTCTTGTTGGCTACTTTCTTATTATAGGGTTCAGTAAACCCACAAAATATTTTTTTGTAGAAGTGCAAGAAAAGTTCACAAGTTATCACACATACACACAGATAAAGGTCAGCACATCTGAAATAGAATTTTACTAAGACATGACTTTAGTTCAAATATTTAATACTCTCCATCCCCCCAAGGAAAATGAAACCATGAGACATTTCTGCAAGATACAGTGTAGATATCTTCAGAATGAAACAGTACATATACTTGTACTAATGTCAGAATTGTAGTATTGTAGAGGAATGATAGGATAGCAGAGGACATAAAGGGGAACTCGGGAGCACTTCATAAACAGCCCTGATTTGAAAGGTTATGGTCTAGAGGTAAAATTAGGGCCTAAGACAGGCAGAATACTGTAACAGGAAGCAGGTTTGCAGTTCGAGATGGAAACAATTGAAGAGTGAGTTCAGTCTCTTCTTTTTCTGGTAATGATCATCTCCTAGTAGCACATAAATACTTTAAAAAATAGAGAAAATTACTTTGTACAGTTTAGTGAGAGGATAAGAGTCCAGAAGGACAGAAAGGAACATGATTCTAGACAGGAGTTCAAAGAAATGCAGAAAGACATGAAAGGCAAATGAACCAAGAAGGAGCGGATGTGAACTATGTATTTAGCTGGTAATGACTTATCAAGCTCGGTTCCTGGATTGTACCAAACGCACCACTCTGGGGGGAGATGTTGACAGTGGGCGGAGGCTGCGTGTATGTGGAAGGGGCTGTATATGGACTCTGTGTCCATATAGACCAAATTTCTAATTAAGAACACCCCACACCCCACCCCGGTCAATGGTGTCCTGCTTTCCAATGTTAAAATCTGGTCACCTTAGTTATACCTACTTTTCTAAACCATAAAAGACATTTAAATCATGATACTTCAGAAAGGATGAAAAGACAAGTATAGAAAAATGTTATGCCAATGTAAAGACAGACCAAAAGAAATATGTTACAGTTACAGTCTCCAGAAAGAAACAGTATTAGAGATACACAGGGTCATTTCATAACCAAAAAGTGCTAATTCACTGGGAAACTGTAACAATTTTAAACTTATATGTATATGATAACATGCTCAGAGCATCTCTAAGAACTGATATTACCAGAAGTAATAACCAATTCGCAATTATACTGGAGGATTTTAACCCGCCTAGCACAATAATCAGTAGAATAAATAAATCTGGATTTATTTATGTACAAGGCAATCAACCTGCATGGCACAGAAAACAGCTGGAGAATGCTGAAGAACACATCTGTAGAATACATTTTTGTTAGTGTGAACAGAAAACTTACATATATAGAAATACGCTGAGCCCTCAAGCAAGTTTCAACAATTTTCAACATTTAAGAATAATTAGAAAATCACTGTATGCATGTATGATGAGAAATATATTTCTAAATATTTCAAGGGTCAAGAAGAAAGCAAGTGGAAAATAGAAAATAAATTCAACCAAATGAGAATGGAAATATCATTTACCATGTGGGCTATAACCAAGAGAGTTTTTAGAGGAAAATTTATATATACATTTACAGTCTTAAAAGCATATATTTAAAAAGGAGACAAAGAATTAATGAGGCAAATATCTATCTCAAAAAATTAGTTTTACAAGACAAAAAAAACTTATGGAAGGGGAAAATAATAGTATATATTGAAGTAAAATTGATGAAGTAGGAAACAAATATAAAAAAAGAATTAGGATTTTTTTTAACTTCTGTTACTTTAGATGATATATATATATATATTAAAAAGAAAGAAAACAATGTTATAGATTCTACTGATATTGAAAGGATAAGTAGTATTAGGAGAAACTCTATGGTAAAAAAATTAAATTTACATGAAAAAATGTTTTAAATAGTATAACATACTGAAACTAACATAAGAAGAAATTAGAAACCCAAAGAGCCATATAACTACCAAAGAAAATAAATCTGTATTTAAGGTATTTTCCAAAACTGCAGGCTCACATAGCTTACTGATAAGTTTTACTAGGTATTTACTTCCATTCTTATAGATACTATTCTAGAGAATATAAATAAATGAATACTCTCCAATGCTTTTCTTGTGACTACCCTAACCTTGATACCAAATTTAGCAAATATAGTATGAGAAAGTTATAGGCTATTATCATCCATGAACATGAAATAATAGCAAACATTATTGATTCATATGCAAAAATGATTCTATTACTTCCAAGTTGGGTTTATTCAAAGAATGCAACATTAAATAAATATTCAAAACCAAGTAGTTTATTTCATAATACTAACAGAGTAAAGGGGAAAATAAATCTTACTAGAAAAAGAAGTGTTTGATTAAATTCTTAGAAACCTGAAATAGAAGCATATTTTCTTTTCTTTTTTTTCCTGAAGCATATTTTAGCATATTTTCTTAATACAATCCATGGAACATGGGTGATCTTGGAAGCATAATATAGAGGAAAAGAAGTATATGAGTTCCAAAAAAATCCACATATACAAAGTTTGAATATAGGAGCGATGAAAACTTATTGTCGAAGTTTATATATTTGGGAATAAAGACCATGAAGAAAAGTAACAAAATGATTATGATATGAGACAGTTTAATGGTCAGTCCTTAAAGGAAGAAAGAAAATTAGAACTGGGAAGAGGCAAAGAAGATGTCTGGGTCTATTTCTTGATCTCTGATTGTATTATATAGTGTTAACTTTGTCATTATTAATTATGTATTATATGTATATATTGCTTGTGTTAAATTTCACATGGAAAATGGTTTTAATTTTTAAAAGTAAGCCCCAAAGCCCATGGTTATATATGACCATATTATAGGGCAGGGTTCCTAACCTTCATGTACCACTGTTTACGTTGGCAATCTGATGAAGGCTGAAAAATTTTCTCTTTTCTTTTTGTTATTTTTACATCCATTCATTAAAAAGCATAGAATTAAAAGGAAACTAATTATGTGGACACATAGTTGTCAACATATTATAAAACTATTTGTAATAACGTAAAATATGTTTACTAATCTCTCGAATGGTAAATTCTAACAGTAGATTGGTGACTGCCATAATTTCAAACAAGTGCCAAACATAGATGGTGTTTGGAGATAGCTGCCTCAACAGCAATGAGATATGAAGTTATTTGTAATTTCTGTGAGTGATGAAGTCATGGGAGGTTGCTACTACTATTGTGGTTCATTGCCTTACATTCCCAGAAATGCAGAAAATCCTAAATTAAGGAAAATAGAGATGTAATTTTTCCCTCTCAAGTATAGATTTAGAACCCCAGCTATGGTAAAAATTGTCATTCTCTGGGGTCTGTCCTCTTGGTGAAAGGACCAACAGTTCTCGGAGTTAGGGGATATTCTTCAATCTGTGTGAGGATTTCCTTGATAGTTGGACAGGAAGGAGTGCCAGAAATGGCTCCGAACTCACCAAAATAGTGTCCTAAAAAAACAGAAAGCTCGATGGATAAAGTTGAATACTGACACATTGGCTTCAATAAATAGAATAAGTTGTTCAGAGACAAACTTCCTCCATTTGTATTATGGACCACTTCAGCCACCTCTTTGATTCTGTTCAGATATAAATTTTATGAACTATAATGTACACTTGTATCATCAGTCCTCCAAGTTAAGATTTTTGAGAAACACTTAACAGTGCAACTAAGAATTAATGCTACCTTATTGAGTGATAACTAAAGGGGAAAAAAAAGCATAGGTAGCATAAAAAGATTAGATATAAGACCACCCATAGAAATAGAATGTATTCAGTGTATTATAAAATATATGCTTTCAGGAAAAAAAATTACAGTCAAAGTAAATTAGGGGTACTCTTGATAACATTAAAACATAGACTATCAAAAAAGTGATTATGGGATGAGAAAACAGCCTGGTCTGAAAGTTGTTCAAAGAAACACAAAAATGCCACCAAACATTTTAAATTATCATTTTAAATAAGAAATTAACATTGCCAAAAATGTCATTGTATGATATTGAGAATGATCTTTCCAGAATTCACAAGAAGACAATGCGGAGGCCACACAGTAGAGATATTTTGTATGACAAATTTATATTTTTGACCAAGAAAGTAGCAAAGTAGGACAGAATCAACTTTAAAACCTATGACAATAGAAACACTCCTTGAAATGGAGAAAGAACCAAATCCTCAATACGAAAGACCTCAGTAACTAACAATATAATGGAAAGAGAACACCATTAGGATTGAATATATTATAATTAGTTCTCATTAAGTGGTAATTCTAAAAGTATTTAAGCAAAAATAAACCTAATGATTTTTTAAAGGTTTTATTTAACATCAACATCTGGCCTTGGTTATTTATTCATTTTTTATTTGTTTAAGATAGCCTCACTCTGTCACCCTGGGTAGAGTGCCCTGGCATCATCATAGCTCACAGCAACCTCCAACTCTTGGGTTCAAGCGATTCTTATGCCTCAGCTTCCTAGGAGCTAGAACTAAGGCTTTGGTTTTGAACATTCAATATTGACATCTACTTCAGTAGATTCATGAAAATAAAATTGTGAGTTAAAAAACAAATCCAATCCAATTTAACCTGCTACACATTCTATGGTATATAATATTAATAGAAATATTTAGCAACAGAAATAAATTCTCATAAATGCAAAGTTTAATATACACAAACCCTTCCATAAAGAATTAATTACTCATGGAAGTAATTTGGTAAATCAATAGGTAAACCAAAATAAAGAGTTCAACAGGAAGAAGAAATAGTTTAAAGGGAGTTTTAGTGAGCATTGAAATCATTAGTTTTCTAATTAAAGTCATTGATTATGTTCGTATATATACTTCTACCCTACCTGAAGATGGAGAATGTGTGTATATAATAAAACCATAAAGCACCAGGAACAGTAATAAAGAACTTATTGAAACTTGATAGAGATAGGAAGTGAAGGGATCTATGAAGACCAAAACAGAGTAAATTATAGTCTAAACATCAGAAGGAAAGGCTATTCTTTCTGAGAGAGCTGAACAAAAAATCAGAATTGTGGGTGTATAGTTCATTCAGGTCCCTGCTCATACTCCATGTATATAGAACAAGATTGATTCATGCCCCTAGGACAAAGAGCCAAGAATTTCTCTAGGAAGCCACAGAGGGAGGTAGAAGCTTAGAAAGCATGACCTACGGAAGACAGTCGAGGAGTCACCGCAGTCGGGAGGGGCCCATCCTTCTTTGCACTGACACTGAAGCTCATGGTCACACACCTGCAGGACCAATGATTCCGTTAGCTTTTTCATTAGACAGCCCTATTCTTCCATAATAAACTCCATTCTGCAACATAAGTAACTCCCGAGCTCCAGGCTTTTATCTGTCTACATGAGGTCCGAGGGAATCACAGGAATTTCATTAACAGGATCTCAGAAATTTCTCATTGAACTAGGCTCCTGAGTTGGACAAATTTAATAATTCTGATCATTTCTGAAAACATTAGCTTCATCACGAGTGATCTAAGATGGCATAAGATTCAGCAAAGCGTGGGGAAACATTTTCAAAACTTACAGCATGTCCTCTGCACTTAGATGAGCAATTGCTTGATTTGTAGGCTCTCTCCACGTCCACACATTCTGCATTAATGCAAACCTGAAAGTCATCGGAAAAACACATGGTTGACATCAAAGTGACTTCAATGGCTTCAGCTCTGTAAATGGCTGACTCTCTGGAATTTAATCTTACACTATTAGTCACTATTATTGCTATCCAACTCCCCTTTTAATTAGGGAAATCATAATATTTTTTGAAAGCAGAAGATAGAATCTGATAAGTTTTGTAACAAAATATTTAGAAAGTCCTCTTGGATCACTCACTTAACCCACAGCTTCGGTCTAATGCAGCACTGAGTTGAACATTTCACAAACTATCAGGAGCCCATTCTAAATAAAAATATTATGGGAAAGATATATGCTATCGCATCATGTGCAATGTGAAAATGGTTATAATTTATGTAAAAATAAATAGCATTGCTATTTCTCTCTTTATTATCATCATAGTGACTATCCCATATTGGGCAGCTGGTTATTGTGCCAGTGTGTGGGGGGAGCAGGTGTGGGGGAAGAGGGATGGGGATGGATCCTGTTGCTCATGACATTCTCTTTGTTAAAAAGAACACAAAAATGTTGGTAAAGTCTATTGGAAGATTCATATCTAAAAAAATCCAAAACCACTCTACATCTCAGAAGCAATGACCAGACAAGAAATTGAGAGATTAGTAATAATAATTACAAGATGATCTTAATGCTGGGGACTCAGAAACACCCAAATTCTGCTTTAGTTCAAGTATTCCTTTTCTTTTTTCTTTCTTTTTGACAGAAGTGGAAAAGAATTTTTTTATTTTTTTATTTGTTGTGGTAAGACATTTATACTATACTCTTAGTAGTTTCGAAATGTACCATTGCATTGTTCACAATAAGTGAGGCTCCACCAAACACCTTCCCTCCCCCCTCCCTTCTCCCCCTTCCTTCTTTCTGGTCTATAGTTGTGTTTTATCATTCATATCATTCCTATGAATTGGTTTCACAATAGTATTGAGTACATTAGGTACTTTCCCCCTCTATTCTTGAGATACTTTGCTAACAAGAAAAGGTTTCAGTTCCATCCAGGTAAACATAAAAGTTGTAAAGTCTCCATCCCTTTTTATGGCTGCATAGTACTCCATGGTATAGATCAGTAGTTCTCAACCCATGGGTAGCGACCCACAGGAACTGTATTCAAGGGCCATGGCATTAGGAAGGTTGAGAATCACTGGTATAGATATACCACAATTTGTTAATCCATTCATGGGTTGATGGGCATTTGGGCTGCTTTCATAACTTGACAATTATGAATTGGGCTGCAATAAACAATCTGGTGCAAATGTCTTTGTTGTAAAATGATTTTTGATCATCTGGGTAGATACCTAGCAGAGGAATTGCAGAACTGAACAAGTATTCTTAAGCCCCTTAACGCTCAAGCACTGCAGAACTCATGTATTAATGTTCTTAAAACCTTACTACCACTAGATGATGTAAAGGAATTAGTATTCGAAAACTGTAAACTCCAATTAACGATTTCTCCTGTTTTATGTGAAATTTCTTGCCCTTGATGCTGGCAGACATTTCAGGAAACATTGGGGGAAAGAAGAATGTTAAATCTTATTAAAGATTTAATCTTTAATTAAATCCCATGAGTCCCTCTTGGAGGCAAGAACCAACATTCCAATTTCAAACCAGCAGCTTAAACGATATAAATACCCTAAATTGACATTTTCAGCTCCATGGGCTGAGAGGTCAATCCCATTCCTTTTTTAATAGTTTCTTCCCAAAACTTTTTAAGAACAATATGTACACTGAATCACAAAGATAATTTTAGACTCATCAGTCAATGAATTTATATTTAAATAGTCAATATAGGTTAAACAGATAAGATCACATTATCGGATTGACTTTACCATAGTGAAAAATTAGGAAAGCTCTTGCGTCAGGTCGATATTTTAATGCAATAAACAGGGTTACCGATCTCCATGGAGATGAACCTTTTGATTATTATCCAAGCTCATGTGTAGGCCCTGGCTAAGTGGTGCCTGTGCCTGAGATTGTGAGTTTATTATGTTGCTAATGAATGTACTAATCTGTTAAGTGAAGCCCAGCATTGCATACCCTGGTACTTCCACTGGGGCTCCAGACTTAGTCTATGAAAGTAAAACATACTCTGCTGTGTGTTATCACATGACCATATCCTGCTCTTCTTTTTTTTTTGAGACAGAGCCTCAAGCTGTCCCCCTAGGCAGAGTGCCGTGGCATTACAGCTCACAGCAACCTCCAACTCCTGGGCTCAAGCGAGTCTCTTGCCTCCGCCTCCCAAGTAGCTGGGACCACAGGCGCCCGCCACAACGCCCGGCTATTTTTTGGTTGCAGCCGTCATTGTTGTTTGGCGGGTCCGGGCTGGGGATTCGAACCCGCCACCTTAGGTGTACGTGGCTGGCGCCTTAGCGGGTTGAGCTATAGGCGCCGAGCCTCCTGCTCTTCTTGAAATTATGTCTGTGACAGTCAGTTACAGACTTTCCCCATAATGGTTGAGAATCCTGATGGCAATGCTTGTCTGTCTCTATGATTTCCTAAATTGTGAATAGGGTTCAAGTTCCAAGTCCTCACCTGTTGTGAGGCATGTGAACCCCAAACTGGAAAGCAGAGCAAGTAGGGAATAACTGAGAAGCCAAATAAAAACACAAAACACAGCAAAAACACCACGTTGAGTGCAAGCCACAGTTTCAGCTTACCTTGTTGTGGCCACACTTTGTCCCGCTGGCCACCATGCCTATGTTTTGACTTGAATCTTCAGGTTCAAATGTTTTACACGTCAGGAAACTTATTATACGTCCTCCCCAGGGCACATTATCTGCCCCACCTTCACAGAACAACTTTCCACACATAGAATCACTGGAGAAAAAGCCCAAATTTATTTCAGACCTGCAAACTGCAGTTTTATGCAAATGCAAACCATCTCTCTATCAGTATTTAATTAACCAGATTTCCCCCTGTAGCAGAGACTTCTTACCGTACTTCATGCCCATTTCCCCCTTTTTCCTCAGCATAGGATCTCCGAATGTTAGCAAAATACGTTGTAGTTCAAATAAACAGCATTTCCCTGATCCCTATACAGGGATTTTCTGCCTATTGCCTGAATTCTGACCCATGGAAAGGAAACAGAAATCATAAGTGTTAACTGCAGGTTGGAAGGTGACAACTGGTCCTGGAGAAGCCATCGTAGTTTAAAGAAACTCTTGGAATGTAGGGCATATTAGAACTGGAAGATAAAAAAGAAGGGATTCCTAGAGAATCTGTCTCTCTTATTTCAGCTAAAGCTACTTACTTATTTTTGTGACTTGCAGCAGAATAATTTTAACATATAAAAGCCCATCTCTCAACCAAAGAGCTCTGTCAGTACAAAGCAGAGCTTCTCTTGACATTTCAAGGCATCAAGTGGGTTAACACAAGAATACAAATTAAGCTGCTCAACAACCAGGAAAACCATTCCTTTACCAGAAAGGGCAAGAGAATCAAAGCCAATAAAATTGGAGTCAATTGCTTCCTGCAGAATTCAAAGGCTTCAAGAAAGTATTCTGAAAGTGATAGAGTCAGATTTTCTGATGTCTCTGGTGACTGCTGAAAATTGAGGAGTGGAAAAGGGAAGCTTTGTCTCCAAATGTGGGAGGGTGTTTTCTGGAATCATTTGGGTAGAGCTATATAACTATGGTTCTGGGGCATGCGGAATTTCAGGCAAACTATCCACTACCACTACCAACTCTTTAGACTGGCAGGGCAGGCAGTGGGGTGGCCGAGATGCCAGAGCTTGTAGTCATCCAAATTATCTAATGTTCATGTGAAGCGTTATACAGGACAATGGTGTGTGCACAGGCTGCCGAGCAGAGATGGAATTACCCTAGTCTCTTTCCACTTACCACTTACACATTCCCTTTCCCCAGCCCTCACATATTGCCTCTCACATATTTTTCCCATTTGAATCTGCCCTGATTTCCTATATAAGACATGATCATGCTGTAGCTCCAGGTTCCCCCAACAGATATCACAATATTCAAGATACAGTTTGTTTGGTAATGTCTGTTATCCAGCAAAACTAGTATCCAATAGTAAAACTGTGGGAAATGCAAGTCTTAGTCAATGTCTTGTTATATACTACTTTGTACGTGTAGGATTCCCAATAGGTAAAAGTTTAATCTACTATAATTTGAAACTTGAAAGCCATTGTAAAATTACAACATTAAAAAAAGGGTAGAAAAATCTCAAGTTCATTTGCTGTGATAGTCTACACTTTTTTTTTTTTTTTTTAGGATATCAGTACTACAAATAACAAAATCTTCCCATGAACTGTCAATCTTTTCTCTGACATAAAGTTTTTCTTTATGTAATGCCATGGTGAGTTTAAATGAAACTGTACAAGAATTGTACTCGTTATTCCTCTGGGTAATAAATGTTTCTACTCCTAGACTTAGGATGAAATAAACTAGACTGAAAAATCATCTAAAGACTTCTGGGAAATCTCTGGATAAATTTCCAACCGGGTCTATCCTTTGTTCCTTGTTCCATCTCAAACATTTATTCTTTTTAATGACTGTACCTGGTTCTCCGTAAGGACTGTACTTGCACATGACCCAAAGCACCTACCCTAAAATAGGTGAAGAAAGACCTAATTCTGATTTGTCTTTCTAGTCAAGCCACCTAGCTCACAACAGGCAGGAGACAGTAACTCAATAAATGTTTGGGAAATGAACGATGTCCACATTTGCTTTCCCTTTAACTTGGAACGTGTGTCTACAAATGTGTCCCATGGCTCCAGTCTGTGGAGCTGAAAGGCTCAGACACCAAGTTCTACTTACTTTGCTTTGCAGTGAACGAGTGTGTTGTTCACTTTGCGACAATACCCATACTTTGATCCACCTTCATTCACGCTGTAACATGACTTGGCCGCAACCTTGGTGTCTGGGCCCAGGCATAGTCAGTAAGGACATAATTGAAAAGAAAGAAAGCAAGCTAAGAAATCCAGTGCTGCAAAGGATTCATAAAATATAAAACCAACATGAAAATTCCTACTTTAACTTCACCACTCTCAAAAATACAGGTTGCAATATTTTGATATCAAAGGAGCTAGGCAGAATGAAAAATAATCTTTTACATATCCTGCTATTGGATAATGGTGATCTAAAATGTTTGAAGCATCTGCAGGATTTACTGGAGGTTATTACATTTGTTTTCAAGGAAAAAAATTAGACTTACAATGACTTGCAAACTCAAGCTCTTTTAAATGATTTCATGTTTTAATATTCAAAATGACAAAATGAGTTTTATCAGAGCTTTTAATTATTTGTATCTTGGTAACATCTGTTCATTTCTTATAATAAAATATTTATACTGAAAAAGGCAATAATTAGGCATAAATTATCAGGGAAAAGCATGATATTCTTAATTGAAGCAGAGTTACTGCTACTAAAGTTGCAGAAAATATCAGTCATATACCTGTTAGCTTACTTTTTCACAATTAACAATATACCTATCACTTCTCCATAGGATAAACATTCTACAACTTCATACCTGCAAGAATAGCATTAAATTAATACACTATAATTTATTTGATTAATCCCGATTCTTGGATTTTGAGGTGTTTCCCAATTACCCACTATCACTTAAAAAAAAGATGACTAAAATATTTTTGTAAATAAATATTTCTGGGTAGAATTGCTAGAACAAGAATTACAAAATAATATTTTTACGTTGTATTTGCATTTTTCCAGATTCTCTCTGTAAGGATTTTCCTAATTCGTATTTCAGCCAACAATACATGAAAGTAGATATTTTGTTAAATCCTTAGTGACACTTGGCCAATTAACAAATGCAGAAAACTAACTCATTGTTAATTTCTTATATTGCTAGTGAGTTAAAATGCTTTTCATTTCCACTAGACAATCATATTCCCTCTTCATAATCAATTGCTTGTTTATTCCTTGGCCATACTTCCCATACTTGAAATCATAATTGATCTGTAAGAATGATTTCATGCTAAAAGGAGTGATTTTTTAAATTATTTACAAATTCACAAGACTTTTCAAACTTTTCAGAATCAGAATAGTGCTCTTTTGTGAATTGTAAAATTTGGAATTTTATTTAAGCCAATCCATTTCTCTGGTCTTTCAGAATGGCTGCCTTTAAACGTATGATTTAAAAGGTCTTCCTCAGTCAGTATCAGATAAATATGTTCAATGTTGATTCAGTGGATAATTTTGAATGTTTAATAAAGGCAAGCACTGTGCTAGGGAACAATGGGGACACAACTATGGGCAAAGTAGATAAGGTCCTTGTATTAAGAATTTTGCAGACTTTCGAGGGAGACAAATACAAAATCAGGCAAAGAAGGTTAACATTTTGTGCGTTCATGTATTACAAGATGATAAAGGAGTTTCACTTCTGTGCTAAAGATGTCCTTTCCCAGGTTTTTGCCAAATAACTGAAGTTAGCCAAGGAAGCATAGGGTCTTTAACCAGCAACACTAATTCTATTTCCACCTGAATTTAGCATAGCCGCGTAAATAAAGTAGAAAGATGGCTAAGGCCAAGTTCCAACATATCAGTGCATTTCTTGACATGCTAACAATATCAAGCTTTGCTCCTTAATTGTGTCTCTGCCCACCTGCAGTGGACAGAGACGGTTTTACTGAGTTTTCAAGGGTCTTGTCCAATTACAGTAGAACTTTTATATGTCAACCACCCAAAAGACTGTAACAAACTAGTCAACATACAGAAGTGGTCAGTGTGAAGAACTTCCATTGAGTTCATGGGACACATGTTTAGTCCATGAAAATTAGGTCAACATAAGGAAGTGGTCAATGTAGGGAAGTGCTCCACCATGGAGGCTGTATGTTTCTTTTATTCTGGGTGGATTGTGAGGCAGGGATTTTGTTCCTTTCCCCAGTCTTGTTTTAGGTCTGCTGTCAGGAATTATGGAAAGTTCCTGGAATGTAATGGCTTTTTTCAAATAATATATTTAAAAATAGGTAGATTGGGTGGTGCCTGTGGCTCAAAGGAGTAGGACACTGGCCCCATATACTGGAGGTGGTGGGTTCAAACCCTGCCTCAGCCAGAAACTACAAGAAAAAACATTAAACATAAATAAAAATCTAAAAATAGGTAGATTATCTCTATTTTAGTAAATAATCCCTCAGTCATTTGTGTAGCAATCTAAAACTATGACAGGAAAGAGTATGGTAATTGGATACATGTACACAAACAACACTCATCATATCTAGGAAATTCATTAATTGCCTTTTTTTTTCTTCTTCCTACTGGAACTTTACATTTGCATCCTTTGACCTACATTTCCCCCTAACTACTTCTGCTAGACCTTCATAACCAGGATCCTAATTTCTACATCAACGAAATCAACTTGTCTACATGCCGTGAATAAGTGAGACCACTCATACAATCTGAAATTGCCTTTCTAATGAAGCCATTTAATATAATTTAAATTTTAACGTTTTTAGATATCTTGAAATTACACTCTTGAAGTTTTCTTTATGGTGCAATTAGAGACTATGGCCTCAAAAATTGTGTTGTTGTGGACAAAGTGATCTTTTTTTAAACAAATTTCATTTTTTTATTCATTCTTTTCTTGAATTTCTACTCCTTTCCTTGCTTCTGGCCCAGTCCCGAGCACTCCTGCTACTCCTACACACACACACACACACACACACACACACACACACACGACTTCCAAGGGTTTACTTGATAGAGAAGGACCTTCGTCAGGGTTGTCAAATAAACTATAGGACGCACAGTTTAATTTGAATTTCAGACACACAAAGAATGTTTGTTTGGTATGAGAACACCTCAAATACTGCATGGGATGTACTGACATTCAAAGAAAAACTTATTGTTAATCTGAAATTAAAACATAACTGGGCTATTCTTATTTTTATTTGCTACATCTAGCAACCCTAAAACCAAATCTAAGTCTTGAAATGAACTTACCCATGATGTTGAGCAAGCAGAAGTTTCTAAGAACGGGACAGAGTGGTCCTTTGGCCATGACTAAACACTGTCATCAGAGAGGATTTTTCTCTGGATGTGCACAGAGACAGGGGTTTGCTCTCCTACCTGGGCCCCAGAGCTCGGTGCACTGCTCCTGCAGGGTGGGGCACATCCCCATGAAGCAGTAGCCCCTCCCGTTTTGGCAAGGGAAGCCGTTGACGTGGAAACGATCATCAGGACAATGGCCAGATTTACCATCGCACATTTCAGGCAGGTCACACTCATCTTTTGCAGATCGGCACACTTTCCCGGCCTTTTTAAACTACAGGAAAGCAAAACAGAGAGGAGGCTTTTTCCCTCCCTGCTTCGCCCTAGTACTATAGCATTTTCCAATTAGCCTTTTTTGGGGAATGGGAGTTGGAGGCATCATTTTCCTCCAGTTCATATTTGCATTGTACAAATTAAAGCTATTGCCTATTGCATTCCTTCTGTGGACCTTGGCTTCTGCCCTGAGTATTTGAGCAATCAGTATTTCTAAATTTGTAGCATGAACACTAAAGAAACATAATGTAGAAAAGTACAAGAGAAGAACCAAGCAACAACTTAAATGCAAAGAAAGAAGTTATTTCTCCCTGTGTTGAGGCATCTTTGTCAGGGATTTCAAGGAGATTTAAATCCGCGACTTCAGAGACTTATTTCTGAAGTGAATCTCCTGTGTTAAGGAAGATAGGTTTACAGCCAGCACCAAATCAGTCTGAAATCTGAGCATTTCCCAGGCTTCACGTTTCCTAATCCTTAAATTCTTTTGCTTGTATGTTCAGATGTTTCTTTTCAGTTCGCTTCTTTCTGGGAGGGAATCATGATCAAATATTCATTTGCTATATTAACTCCATGGTAATCTCTCACTGCAAATCCTACTCTGGGTTCCTTAGAGAAATCCTCATAAAACAAATTCTGCAAATCTGAACAAGCATGTCCTTCTCTAGCTGACGTGTTCTTTCCCTAGCAGACATGCTCTCTTTGCTCCAAGTAACTCTCAAGATCACACTGGCTATAGCGTGAAACCCAGATTTCAATCGGAGAACGTGAGAAATTCATCCCATTGCTAGAGCCCCCTCACAAACCAGCTCTCTGAGCAGCTGCCACAAACCACACTGATGCTTTCTGTTACAACTTCGTTCTTTCTCTGTCCTTTTTGCCTAAATCAAAAACTAAAAATCTATCCATTGCCCCCAGGCCAGCTGAACGCTTCTTTCCATACACCACCTTCTCTGATCTCTTAAATGTAAGTTGCAGCCCCTGTTTCTCCACGTGCCGGAGAAGAGCCCAGAACTCAGATTTAGATGATACAGATTTGAATCTTGGCTCTGCCGGTGGCTAGATGCTTACTTAACTTTAGTAAATGGAGTTAATTTCTCTAAAAGTCTATTCCTTCATTATCTAACATCTGCTTTACAGGACGTGAAAATTAAGTGAGAATATCCATAAAAATATTGTACATCTCTATCCTATCAACACGGGCATTTAGTCATACACTGGATTCTCATGTTTCAAGTGTGAAGTTCATTATCCTAAAGAAATAAACAGTAAGAGATTGAATTTGTTTATTTCTATAATCTCTCATAAATATCAAATGCTTGTTGACTACTACTTGAGTTTTCAAATTTACTTCCTTTTGACCTCCTTTATTTCTTTCCTCTCCCTCTGACCTTAAAAGAAAAAATTACACCAAAGAATACCTGTCACGGTGGTATTCCATCTACATACCATTCTGTAAACAGTAATTAGCATTGACAGTGTATGAAATTCTGTCCTAGGGGAAGGTCAGTCACCTGCCCTTAGAAGTCACTAAGGAGATAAACACACCAATAGGATCACAATATAGATGGATATGTAACCATAGAAAAAAAATACTAAACTCTGTCTTGAAGGAAAAGTAAAAAAGATAATGACAAAACTTATTTCTAAGAATTTCACCCCCAAAGGTTGACCTCCCACACTATTCAAAATACAAGATCTTCCACCAAATAGATTGTTAAAGGCAGGTGCAATCAATTCTGTGAGCTTTGGTCCAAGAAGATTATGAAGCATTGAAAGAAAGTAGGTAGGGGCTGTGTTGAGCAGTTTGATGGAAGTATTTCAGATTGCATGTGAAAACCCCACACTGTACCCCAGAAGTGCATTAATGTACATAGTTACCATTCAATAAAAAAAAAAAAAGAAAGAAAGAAAGTAGGTAGGAGGACGTAGCACTGGCTTTGGAGCCAGTGGGTTTGCCTACTAAACAGTGGCTGTTATTTATATTTTAAAAATTTTATTATGTGTGTGTTTATGTGTCTGTATACTGTATATATGATGTTTTGATACATAGTAATTATACAAATAATTACTAACAGTCAAGCAAATTAATATACGTATCTCCTTACATAGTTATTTTTTTGGTGTGAGTACAGTGAGATCACTTGAAATCTACTGTCTTAGCAAATTTCCAATGTACAGTTTACCGCTGTGACCCCATTGTACATTAGCTCTCTGACCTTGTCTAGCCTACGTAACTGTTACTTTGTGCCTTTGGCTAGCGTCTCCCCTTTGCCCCCACTCCTGGTAATCACCATTCTTTCCCTGCTAATGTATGTTCAATTTTCTTAGATTCGACATGGAAGTGAGATCACTGCACAGTCTTCTTGTGCCTGGCTTAATACCCTGGGTGTAATGTCTTCTAGGTTCAACCAGGTTCTCACAAATACCGCCCCAGATTATTTTGCCCATTTTCTGCTCTAGGACTCAAAAAGCAAAACGTGATAATGCCTACCTTGAAGGATCATCGGAAGATTCAATGGTTTTTGGATGTAAAGCACCCATGGAGTGCTTGATCAATAGTAAGTGACATTATTTTATTTATTTATTTTTGCAGGCTTTTTTTGGCTGGGGCTGGGTTTGAACCCGCCACCTCTGGTATATGGGGCCAGCACCCTACTCCTTGAGCCACAGGCACTGCCCTGTAGGTAACATTATTTTGTAGGGAAAAAATATTGTGTTGCCTATTTCACTTCACATAATCCCTGAGAGATCAATATGGCAAAACATGATTATAATTATTAAAATAAAGTAATAATCTTACTTGGCATTTTTCACAGCATTCTCCCAACGCGCATTGAGAATCCGCTTTGAGTTTGCACGTTTTAGCATCACAGCAAACGTTGGTACATTCCTAAGAAATATCAGAAAGAAACACAGATGCCAGATTACCTTTCGTACCTACTACAACACAATTTGTGACATAAGTTATTTATCACGCACACATGAGTTTGGCATAGTCTCAAAATTATTTTTAGAAAAATAAAATATGAAATACAGTAACATTATAAAACCTGGTATTTGGGACCAATTGCTGGCTTGTTATCTGCATTTCACCTATATATTTTTTTAATTTGAGTATCTTTTCTTATTTCCCTCATCTTCACTATGAATACCAAGAAAAGATGTATCCTTTTTGGTAAACTGGGAAGGAACAGAAAAGAGAAAGGACCTTTTCGAAACATAAAATCTATCTAAATAGTAAGAGGACATAGTTAGGTCAGCTCTTCAGTTAGGTACTTAATCTTTTTAGAACATGTTCGGAAAAGCCCAAGATGTAGGTCTTTATCCAACATTGACATGTAACTCAACTCTGTTTGCAGAAACATGCTTTGTCTTCATCTTCCTGTTTTGTTTCTAAGAAATCAGAAACTGCCTGCACAAACCCTTTTAGAAACTCCGAAACTTCCCCTTGGAGCTGTCCAGATGCCTACAGGAGAGAGCTTCGAGTTACGACATTTCAGAGTAAAAATGCTTTCTTTAGTTCAAATAGAATCACCAGCTGAGACAGATGACACTTTTTCAAAGAATGAATAAATCTGTAATCCTATTTCAAACTTTCTGAAGGCCAACACCCTGATGGCGTGATGTATTACTTGTATTAGGTGGTAACAGGATGGAGGCAAAGTCCCATGCAGAGCCCCATCCTCCCTGGGAATAGGGTCAGGGCTGGTGCTTCTAATGGTCATAACTTCTGAGCCCAGAAGCAGGAAAAGATGCACCAGATCCCTGCTGTGGGTAGAAGCAGGGCCCTGGAAACAGACACACTTGGACTTGGCTGCTCCATCTGCAGCTCTGTGACCTTGGGCAAGCGAGTTATTGACTCTCTGAGCACCATTGCTGTGCCTAATCGGTAATGCTCAATAAATCATAGTCACATCAGAAACTTGAAGTATTTCAGCCTGAAAGAAGGAGGATGAGGACCCAAAACCCAAGTTAGTCAAAAGTACTTAAAAAGATGGTGTTTGTTTTTCTGTTCTTGGGATACGTAGGGACAAAATTCACATAAGTAGGAGGGGGAGGAGGAGAGAGGAATGGGTAAACTCACACCTAGTGGTGACAATGCACTCTTTGTGGGTGAAGGATAAACTTATAACTTAAAACTTAAAACATATCAAAGCAAGCTATGTAATCAAAACGTATATACCCTCATAATATTCTGAAATTTGAAAAAAACTTAAATTAAATTAAAAATGGAAGAGTGGGGAAGGAACCCTGACGGGGAAATTAGCAAATTCTATTAAGCAGAGTTCCTTGTGAGAAGCACCTGCCTAGCAAACACCAGAAATGACTATGTCTGAAATCGCAAAAGACCATGTCATTTTATAGTGGGCTACATATTCTTTTGAAGTTTGCCTTCGTGGCAACTGAGAAACCACTAGATCATTCTAGAAAGTGCTCAGTAGTACCTCAGGACTCCCACAATCACAGTCCTCTCCCATTTCTATCATCTGGTTCCCACAGATTGGGGTCGATATGATATCCTTAGGCAATGGGACATTAGAGAGGCAATTTGATAATTTATCTTCAAAGAACTTGTCGTAGCTGACACGGCTGCAGGAACTGAAGTCTGTGGGTACATGGATGCTATAAAGATAAGAAAAGGAAAAATGAAATACAGTCAGGCTTAGTATGCAGGGAGAAACATCTGACACTGGGTCCAATCGGTTTCTCTACCTGCCAGCTCTGTGACCTTGGGCAAGCCTTACCCTCAACCTGCCCCCACTCCATGACCAAGTGCCAAGTCCTTTGTGTGCCTGAATGAACTTACCTGGGTGAACACAAATAAGAAAATATGGTCATATTTTGACCTATCGCATTCTGGCCACTTTTCTTAAAACAAGAACGCCTCTGAGTTATTCAGATAATATTACTGTAGGGTTGTGAAGTCTTGAAAGTATCAAAATAGTATTTATTTGCATGTCTGAGAGAATTTACTTTCTTTTCTTTGGCAGTTTTTTTTGGCCAGGGCTAGGATTGAACCTACCACCTCCAGCATATGGGGCTGGTGCCCCATTCCTTTGAGCCACAGGCGCCACCCAAGAATTTACTTTCTTTTAGAGGAAATTCTATTGACAGTATCTCTTCATCCCACAAATAAAGTTTTTTTTTTTTTTTGGCCGGGGCTGGGTTTGAACCCACCACCTCCAGCATACAGGGCTGGCGCCCTACCTTTTTGAGCCACAGGTGCCACCCACAAAGATGAAGTTTTAAAATGCAGTCATATTGGGAAGACAGAACATAAGCTGTGTGAGCGCTACGCAGCCGTACGGTATTTTGTGTAAGGACGTGGGAGAATGGCTATAGCTTGAGTGGCTGGGGAGAGGGAATGCAAACAGGAAATTCAAAATGAATAGAACTCATAGAATGAGTTCTATGATTAGAAAAGAGGAAATGAATACACAGAAAAAAAGATTATGAGATTTCTAAAGATAAGGTTGTCTGGAATTTCTGCCTAATGCAAGGCAAGAATGTATGTTTCTTTTTTACAGATTATCTTCATCCTCCTGTGAGAAGTGTCTAACGGTTTTCCTCTTAGAACTCTTTTCCTTTTCTTTTATTCTTTTTATCTCAATTAACAGCATATATTTATGTCTTTTTCGTAATTTTTTGGGGGGGGTACAATGCACTGGTTTTATATACAAATAGAAATATTTTCATCAAACTGGTTATCATAGCCTTCATGGCATTTTCTTAGTTATTGTGTTAAGACATTTATATTCTACATTTAGTAAGTTTTCACATGTACCCTTGTAAAATGCACCATAGGTGTGGTCCCACCAATTACCCTCCCTCCACCCTCCTCTCTCCAACCTTTCCCCTTTCCCCATATTCTTGGGCTATAATTGGGTTATAGATTTCATATGAAAGCTATAAATTAGTTTCATAGTAGGACTGAGTACATTGGATACTTTTTCTTCTATTCTTGACATACTTTGCTAAGAAGAACAACTCTTTTTCTATTTCTACCCATTGTGAATTCATGGAAAACTTGATAAATGCTAATGATTTGCTGAAACCAGGTCTTATGTAGATGAGGCTAAAACAATGCATTGCCCCAACAGCAAAGGGACAACTTGTTCAAATACAACTTAGTGAAATTATTACATATAGATGAGAGAGGCAGTGACTTGGCAAAGGTACTCATTCATCTGATATTGCTAAAACTTGACCATGTTGTGGAAGGTGACTGAATGAAGGTTGCAGCTCAAAGTTGATCAAAACCAGGACCCACGGCCTCACCTTAGCGCTCTGTCCATTACACATTTTTCAGAAGGGCATTCACAAACTTCAGAGTCATGAAACATCCCGAAGTTGTGGCCCATTTCATGAGCCATTGTCCCTGCAACTCCAAAAAGGTTCTCGCTGTGGTCCTAAGGGTAAGAAGGTGGAAACAGATTCTCCAGTTTTCAAAGGAAATAGTAACTCAAAGTATGTGCTTTTCATAATCATTCTCCTTGTCATTGATAAAGCAGAAAAAGACTAATTTTCACTTTGGTCTTCTCACCTTGCTCTCCCTCTCTTTCTCTCAAACACACACACAGTATACACATCCATCTTTAATGCTGACTATATATCACAGCATACATTGTCTGCGGTTTGCTCAGGTGAGTAGAGTCTTAGAACTAGGGAAATTGTTCTCCTTTCTGCCTTGAGAGATCATGCTGAATTTTCTTCAACAATGATAACTGATCCATCTCCCTTCCCTTGGCATGCCTTTTAATATTTCTAAATTAATTTTAGAAGTCTTTGGTGTGTTTGGCCCACAGGGATCTAAAATTGATTGTTTAACCTGGCACTTTAGTGTGGTTGGCATCTGTCTCAATTCCTTTCCTGCAAGACTAGACATCAGTCAATTTCAGACTTGCCCTATGGCACAAAGTCCGGCCAAAAGCTCACTTCATCTCTTGACTGTTTCTGAAGGTGCCCAGACCAGCGGCTCCAAGTGGCAAGACAAAGCAGGAGAATCGCTGCTGGTTGTAGTTTACTGTTGCAGGGACAGGAATCTGCCAGTGACATCACCCATAGAAACCTGATGCCCTTATCGACTTCACCTCCAATCAAATGTGAAGATCAATGAAAAGCAGCAAAAGGAGGGTGGCAGAAAAGGGACAGCTGTGCCAAATCGGAAGCTAATACCCACTTTGTGGTAGTCTCGTTTTCTTTTGATATGAACATGGTAAGTCCTACCAAATAGCAATATGAAACTCTCCAAACAGGGAAAAATGCAAGCCGAAAAGCTTACAGGAAATGAAAATGCACTTAGAGGCTTTTCAGATGGTTTTGTTTGAAGTTCCTTTCAATTTAGAGTTTCTTCATTTAAATACCATATTTCCTAACTTAAATGGTTTTTGCCCTTTCCTCTTTGCCTCTCCCTTCCTTGTTGCCTCTTTAAATCCTGCCTACCCTTTAAGGTAATGGTTCTCAACCTTCCCAAAGCCATGACCCTTTAATGCAGTTCCTGGGGGTCGCGACCCATAGGTTGAGAACCGCTGCTTTGAGGTCTACCTTAACGTGATGTTTCCTGACCAAGTTAATCTTCATTGACAATCCTCTTATGGATTCCTGCCATTATTTTCAATACCATAATGCAGCACTAAACTATCTACTCTTGGATATATTAGAACAATTGCTTTAAGTAGGCAAGTTGCTCTTCCAATTTTATGGTTATCTCTTTCAAGTTCAAAAATAAATATTTCACCTTTCCTATTTGTCCCATAAAGCACATCACAATCTTAGGCTCAAGACAGTCACTAAAAACATGTTGGTTCCCTACATAGGATATATAAATCTGGAAAAAGTATTATTCTTTTACAGACAAGGACAAAGCAGATCAACTTAAAAAATTATAACTTTGAATCCACCAGTGTGGTGGGGGTATAAGATATCTAGAGAGCCTGTGAAAATATTAATATACTCAAAATGAAAGCAAAGTTGTGGTCAGACAAATAAAACTAACATAATTTGCTGTATTATAAGAGATGTTAAAAATCAAAAGTTTCTCTGAAAGGAAAAAATGTGATGCCAGCTAGAAAGTAGAATTTTGCAAGAAATGGGAAATCTTGGAATGTGATAAAGGTAACCATAATTTTAAAAAAAATTTTTCAACAAAAAATGGTAACAAAGTATTTGTGTTTATAATGTATATAATGTTGAATATGTCACAACAATAAATGGGAAGGAGCAATTAGAGGTATCTTCTTGTAAAGTCTGTATACTACATGTTAAGTGGTTTAGTATTATTTCAAGGCAACCTGACCAGTAGAGATAAACCCTAGAGTACATTAAAAACAAACAGTGTTATCAACATGAAGATAAATAAAATTATCTTTAAAAGTATTCAATACATCTTAAAGAATGTAGGAAAAAGACTAAAACACAAAGACAAGATGGACTAAGAAGTAGCAAGGTGGAAGATTTTAGCTTGACAATATCTATAATTATATTAAATATAAATGATCTATATATACCAAATAAAAGAGAGAGATTGACAGATTAAAAGGTAAAAACCCAAGTACATATTGTCCACCAGAAAACTTTCTCTAAATGTAAACAAATATATTGGTGAAAAATAAAAGGAAAAGGATGTATGATGCAACATCAGTCACAAGATGTTTAAATATATTCATATTAGACAAAGCAGACTTAAGTAGGTCAGGGTCATGACTTCATAAAGAAAGGGTCAATTCTCCAAGAAAACATAATGAGTGGACTTATCTATATACCTAGCATAATTCAAAATATACACATATACTTACATAATTGAAAGATTTAATCAAGTCCCATTTATTTATTTTTGTTGTTGCTGTAATTGCCACTGAAGTCTTAGTCATAAATTCTTTCAAGGGTTTTTTGTTTGTTTTTTGCAGTTTTTGGCCGGGGCTGGGTTTGAACCTGCCACCTCCAGCATATGGGGCCAGTGCCCTACTCCTTTGAGCCACAGGTACTGCCCCATAAATTCTTTGACACCAATCCCAATATCTAGAAGAATTTGTCCTACATTTTCTTCTAGAATTCTTTTTTTAAATTATTATTAAATAATAGCTGTGTACATTAATGCAGTCAAGGGATACAATGTGCTGGTTTTATATACGATTTGAAATATTTTCATCAAACTGGTTAAAACAGCCTTCATGGCATTTTCTTAGTTATTGTGTTAAGACATTTATATTCTACATGTAGTAAGTTTCACATGTACCATTGTAAAATATGGTTTCATGCCTTACATCTAGGCAAATATATAATCATACTTGGGTAGTCCAATATTCTCTCTTTCCCATAAGATAGAAAAGACCCATGCAACATTTGCAATACTACATTCAACAGCAGAAGGCATGTTCTTTTAAGTATATCTGGAGCAGTTACCAAGAACAAATGTAAAAAAAAAAAAACAACCTAAATATTGACATTCTAGCAAGTACATTCCATACCACAACAGAATTAAACAATGTAAGTACTAGTAATGAAATCATTACAGCACGCTTGTATGTAATATTTAGGTCAAAGAAGAGATCAAAAGAGAAATTAGAAAATGTTTCGTCCAGAACAAAAATAAAAGCACACACATCCAAATATTTTGAATGCAGCTAAAGTTGTGCATACTGGGAAATAAATAGCATTAAAATGAGGACAAATTAGATATAGAACAACTAGAAAGCAGGAAACAATCAAGACAAAAGTAGAAATCAATAAAATTGAGAGCAGAAAAACCATTAAGAACTTTGATGAAACCAGAAAAGGTGTCTTTGACTAGATCAATAAAAGTGATCACCTCCTAGCCAGACTGACCACACAAAAAGGACACACGTTATAAAAATATCACAAATGAAAGGATATAACTCTACATTCTATAGATATTAAAAAGATAATAAATGATATTATCAACAAATTTGTGCCAAATTAAAAAAATGAACAGCTTTCCTCAAAGATATGCACTACCCATGCTCACTCAAGTAGAGTTAAATAATTTGTATTGAAGAAATTAAATTTGTAGTTAAAAAAATCTACTCACAAAGAAAACTTCAGGTCCACAGAGTTTTACTAGTAAACTGTATCAAATATTCAAGAAAGGAATAATATCAATTCTACCCCAATATTTCAGAAAATCAAATCACTGGGAACATATCCCAACTCATCTTATATAGCCAACTTTACTACAATAACAACTTCAGTATGATATCAAACTTTACTATGATAACCTAAGAACACACACTACAGGAAAGTAACCTAACACCCCTCCAGAATATAAAAGTAGAGACCCTGATCTTAGCATGTTGAAACAATATATATATATATAAAATTATAGCTATGTTGAGTTTATCTTAGAATGCAAGATTTGAAATTCAATCAATGTCATTTACCATGTCAATAGACAGGAGAAAAAGTATAATAATTTTCTTCAGAGATTCAGGGAAAAAAAGCCTTTGTTAATTTAGAATTATAGAACGAACAATTTTATCTTCAAACAAACCTGAATAATGCCAACAGAATGATAAGGAGAGCACATTGTAGACATGAAAGCAAGGCCCACAGTCGATCCAGAAAGTTCTGTTGCCCTGAAAGGAATAAATTGATATAACAAACAATGATTCTCTGCTGCATATTATTTTGACAATTCTATATATGGCTAGAAGAAAAACTCAGACTGTGAACCATCCCTCTTAAACTTTTTCTTCAGTATTTGAACTAGCATGAGGCATTTTTCTATAGAAGAGTCCTCCTATTGGTTAAAATCCAAGTGCCTAGTGTAATCATGTTTAAGATTTTGTATCTATCATTTGTGATTAATATTTTTCCTTGTAGAGTTTAGGTCTTATCAAGAAAAAGCTTTCTTTTTTTCCTAATAACGGTTTCTATTTACATACATCTTGTTTTAATATTAATATTTCCACACATGCTCTGTTGTCATTTATATTTTACTCACATATTTTTAAATCATTTACTTTGTTTTCCTTTAGTTTTGTCTCAGCCACAGTACACTCAGGAAATGGGCCCATTTTGAAAGCATTTGTGTTATTGAGCATCAATTTTATTCAAATACTTTTCCTAGTGAAGAGGGATTTGGATGATCTGTATGTATTTATATAGATGGTATGTTTGGTTGTTAGTAATTTCAATGTTTTTATTTCCTTTATTGTTCATTAATTTTTTTTTGCAGTTTTTGGCTGGGGCTGGATTTGAACCCGCCACCTCCAGCATATCAGGCTGGCGCCCTACTCCTTTGAGCCACAGGCACCGCCCTTGCTCATTAATTTTTAATAAATCCATGCTCTTTACTTTTTTGTTTTTTTAATCTATGCAAGATTCTTGCCCTTATTTGTCTCTAGAAATTTGCAAAACATACATCAATCTTTTACATCACCTACTAGATGCATTTATATGAACAAGTGAACCTGTATTTTCCCACAAAACAAAATCAAGGATGGAGAACATTGATTCTGTCATGCAAATTGAGAAAATTACAGAACTTCCTCCCACTTTCCACTCTCTACCGATTTTTTATCTCTTTATTCAATATGATTTCAGGTATTTTGAAATTTTATTTTACATTACACATATTTTAAAGATTTGTAACATTTTAAGTTCCTTTTGAAGTCATATTGTGGAGTGATTTATGTTTAATTCTACATTTATATGGATTCAATCATATAAAAAATGACATCTTTTTTCATTCTGTAATTATCTAATTTAGTTCCCCTTTTCAGTGAGTAAATTTGGAGTCTAATAGTCTTATCTCATTATACCCAGGTAAAGGTATCTTTTTTTTTTTTTTTTTGCATTTTTTGGCAGGGACCAGATTTGAACCTGCCACCTTTGGTGTATGAGGCCAGTGCCCTACTCCTTCGAGCCACAGGTGCCACCCATTAAAGGTATCTTTGGTTTATTTGTCTAGTAAATGTTAAGATTTCAATTTAAATGGAAGGATTTTTTTCCCATCATATCTTTAGCACTATCTTCTTTTTTTTCTTTCTTCAAGAAATCAACTCTCAACATTATATTGCCATTTTTTTAAATCTATACATAATCTCATCAATAGTTTTTACCTTTTTACCATATGACTTTGCAATATGGGAATATATTGCTAACTGGCTATGAGACCTTGGAAAATCACTACCCCTCTCTATAAAGAATGGAGTCTATCCTGTGAGGTGCCTTTCAGTTTAGAACTCATCATTTCCAAATTAAGGAATGGTTTCAGCTATTCCCCAAAGACAGCCCTCCAATCAGCTAACTTGGTAGTATTCATAGCTTAAGTAATGCCTCTCTCTTAAATCTGTGTTTGCATACAACTTGCCCTTGAGTAAGACAATATACCAATTATGATACCGTTATGGTGTTGGGGGTTTAATCATAAACCCTGATTCTCCTTGGCCGTTTGATGTGCTTGGGCTGGGGAAAGCTACTTACCTTCTAAGAAGTCTAACCACCTTGAGACTGCCATGTTGAAGAAAGTTCAAGTTATGCACAAGAAAGGCGGTTTATAGAGAGCCATCACCACCCAGCCCACTGGTCCAGGCCTGTGAGCCCAGACACCAAACATGTAAGAAAGAAGCCTTATTGTAAGATTTGGGTGATTTGTCACGCAGGAATAGATGACCAGCATAGGACTATTAATTGACTCTGACAAGACATAGTTCACTGATTTCCCATAACATTCCTTGCTTTCTGAGGTAGTGGATTCCTCAGTAACATAAAGTCAATCCCTGCTGTTTCCTTCTCTTTGATTCCAACTAAATATTACTCATGTGTCCAACAGCATTTTCTTCCTTTTTAGGCATATTCCCAGGTCTTATGTAATTTACAGCTATTAAATTCATTTCCCCTTTTATGTGTTAAATAATACTTGATCATTTCAGCAGAATAGTGAAGATGTAGGGTTAGGGTATGATGCTCAATTTTTCTTCTATCCTGTAAGTTGACCCACCTACAAATCAGTTCACTTTAAACATTGAATTTAATCTCTCTTTTCATTGAATTTCCTTCTGTATACCCAATAAAAACAAACTTCTTATGAATCACTACTAAATTATTGGTTCCTCATTAAAAGCAAAAGAAAATATTCGAATCAAAAGTAATATCATTCTTACGTTATTTCACTTAGACAAATAGTCTCCAGTTCCACCCAGGTTGTTATTAGAACTAGTCAATTGGCTTAGTGCCTGTAGCTCAGTGAGTAGGGAGCTGGCCACATACACGGAGGCTCGTGATTTGAGCACAGCCGAGGCCAGTTAAACAACAATGACAACTAAAACCAAAAATAGTTGGTCGTTGTGGTGGGCACAACTATTGTGCAGTCCCAGCTACTTGGGAGGCTGAGGCAAGAGGATCACTTAAGCCCACAAGTCTGAGGTTGCTGTGAGCTGTGTTGCCACAGCACTCTACCAAGGGTAGACATGAGATTCCGTCTCAAAAAAAAGAACTAGTCAATCAACACTTATGTGCAAATATAAAAATAAAACTCCATGGAAATCAAGTAGGTAGGAGAGGGAAGGAGGTTGGGTAAATTCATACCTAACAGGTGAAATGCACACATTCTTGGTGAAGGGCACACTTACAAATTTGACTTAAAGTGTACAAAAGCAAATTACGTAACCCAAATATGTGTACTCCTATAACATTCTGACATTTTAAAAGATGTAATTGCGTATTTGACATATGACCCAAGTGAAAGATTTTTAAACTTCTAAGCCTCTACGTGTATACACACCTTGCACAGGCTTTGGAAAGCTTCTCTACGTAGTGCGCAAAAGGGAAACGCTGTACGTACGTGATTAACTGAGCGATGTCATGAGGCTTTCTTTTCAGGAGGTCACTCCCCCTCCATTTAGAAAACTTTTCCAAGGTCAAGTTTGCACTTGGGCTGATCGCTATCTTATCCTTGTCATTCCAGATTTCCATGCCAACTAAGGCCACATGAGTATTGAGCTTTTTATAAAGCTGTGCAAACAGAATAGACACATGCCAAAGTAATGACCTTTACTGGCGATATTAGCTTTTAATAATTGCTAAAGTACTTAATATTTTCAAACAGTCATACCAGCACTATAAGAAAAGAAAACCTTCTTTGCAAACCTGCTTGCAAAACAGATGCTTCCATCTATTTTTACAGACACTGAAATGCTCATTCTAAAGGAAATGCAGATACCCAGAGATATTTTGGGTCCGTAAGCTCCTTTTATTAGAGTAAAGGCTCTACTGAGGCAAACTTTTCCTGTTGTGACCTCAAGAATCACTATAATTTTGTGTTACTGAATTACTGTGGCTTCATTTTAAGTATATTCACTCACAGACTTTTTTCCATGCTCTTAGGCATAATATTTCAGAATTCGTGACAATGATTCAATGCTGGTTTGAGCTTTAGAGAATTAATGACAATGTCCTACATCAATGAATTACAATTAAGTGATTGCTATGGTCTGAATCCAAAATTCATGTGCTAAAATCCTAACTTCCTAAATGATGGTATTTGGAGGTGGGGGCCTTTAGGAAGTGATTAGATCAAGAGGCCCCAGAAGGCTGCCTTGTCCTTTCCACTACAAGGACACGGTGAGAAGCCAACTATCTACAGGTCAGGAAGAGAGCAGCTTTCACCAGAAACCAAACCCTGACGGACCTAGATCCTGGACTTCCCAGCCTCTAGAACCATAATAACACATTTCTGTTGTTCATAAGTCTGTTTATTCAGCTTATGATATTCTGCTATAGTAGCTTGAACAAATAACTAAGACAGAGTGGTCATTTAATTCTTAAATTGGACTGAACTAAATAACCCACAATGGCATGGGATAAACCTTAGAAATGATGAGTGAAGACTCTGAGACAATGTGCTTCTCTACAGTTAAAAGCTCAAGTTGCTCCTGTCATCTAGAAGTGGCAGATCTCACAAACAACTTTGTGCTGAGGAACCTGAGCACAGTTTTCTTTGCAAAAGTAGTTTGGAAAATGAGGAAAGCATTGAGGAATGCAATTACCAAAAGGGAAATATAAATCCAACCAGACCATACTTCTTTGCTCAGTTATTCTCTCAATTTCCTTGTTTCTTTCTTGCTTTACTTTAATTACCCGACCATACCTCAATCGTGGTTAAAATACTCTCTGTCTTCCCCATCACGCCATTTTCAGGAGGTCATTCCCCCTCCATTTAGAAAACTTTCCAAGGTCTAGTTTGCACTTGGGTTGATTGCTATCTTATCCTTGTCATTCCAGATTTCCATGCCAACTAAAGCTACATGAGTATTGAGCCTTAGGGGAAAACACACATTTTGCTGGCTGCTCTTTATCTGAAGTTATGATGACCTCAAATGGTCCCTAGAAAACTTGCCGCTTTTCCAAATTCCATTCGCTACTGGTCGTCTGCCCATCATTTTTACACTCAATCCTCTTTCTGAGTAGAGCACAGTCACTCTCATCAACACCACCATCATTGCTTTTTCCCAGGTCACGCCATCCCTTCCTCTGAACTGTGGAAGAATCCCTCTTCCTGGTCTTGGTTCTGCCTTTGCTTCCGTGCAATTTATTTTCAGCACAATGGCTGACGGAACCTTTTAAGAATATACACCTGAACGTACCCCACCTCAGCTCGGGTTCTGCCCTGTCTTATTCATAATGAGTGACAGTGAAAGTCCTTCGTGAAGGCTACCAGGGTGTCCAGGGTCTGGTCACCCCTGCTTGTAAGGTACCTCCTCCCATCCTTCCTCCGGCTTACCACATTCCAGCCACACTAACCTACTTGCTATTCCTCAAACCTGACAAACTATGATCTGACCTTGGGGCTTTTGCTCTTCTTTGTACACAGTGCAGGTGCATTGACTGAAAAACCAAATGTTACCTCCTAGAAAATTGTTTGAAATTACATTGAATAAATTATTTCATACCATGTTGACGTAATTTGCCATCTCAAACACCCTCTTTCTTATTTCTTCTGGATTTTCATTGTACTTTTTAAACTAAAAAAAATTAAGACAGAATAGGAGCATTAATAGAAATTAATATATTTAGGAGGTTTTTATAAAAGACAATCTTGCCAACTAGTGGATCTAATCAAGAGTCAGTTACCAAAGTTAACTAGAGTATAAATGTCTTAACACAATAACTAAGAAAATGCAGTGAAGGCTATGTTAACCAGTTTGATGAAAATATTTCAAATAGTGTATAAAACCAGCACATTGTACTCCATGAGTGCATTAATGTACACAGCTATGATTCAATAAAAAATATTTAGGAACTAATTGATTCTATGTCTCCAGCTAAATTAAAGCACTTTAAGAGTAAAGATATTGTTTTCTCCCTTAAAGTATTAGTTCAGTATAAAGCTCTCATTTAAGGAATTACTCCAAATGTATTTTCACTTAAATTCCATGGTTTCCTAAGCAGTGCAAGGAGTACCTTACTAATTTAAAAAATATATATGAACAATAAATGAACTTGGCACATAAGAAACGTCAAAACTTTACAGCCTAACCTAATTTACTTATGTTTTCATGTACACATGGACCTTGAGTTTAGAAAACTTCATATATGAAAATATGTTCCTCTAATAGAAGATAAACACTGTCTATCTCCAAAGATTTGCCTTTTTTACAAGATTCCATTCACAAGGCATTTACATTTACTACTGCCTGATGAAAATAAATTCTACTTTACAAATAGTTTAAGGACTTAATGTAAGACAAAGTGACAAAAGAATTTAATCAGAAATTAAGTTTGGAGCTCTTAATAAGAAAATAGAATTATAACACCAACAATTCAATTTATGCATATTATATCACTTGCCTTCACTGCTCTGAAAGGGAGAAATCATACCAGCTTAACAATAAATGTTAAATTTCATAGGTTTGGAACAATTTGTAACCACAGCTTATATTCATGATTTTTCCAATCTGTTCTGAAACATTTGATAGCTCATATAATTAATAAATACAGGTGAAGGGGTTAAAAGACACATTTATCTGATATAATTACCTCACCATTATCCAGGACGATATAATATTCTATGTATTTCCTGCTTCTTTTAACCTTCTGGTCATTCAATTTCTGAAATATAAGGAGAACAATTACTAAGATGACATCTTTCTCTGAAACAATTCTTTGACATGTGTAATTTCATAAGAGATTGATGTATGTGTAGGAGTAAACACAGATAATTCTATCATTTTAACTCCAAGTCAACAGCCAGGTATTATGGAGAGACAAGACTCAGAATGTTAAAAGCCAGAAGAGGATGGGTGAAGAGAATGATATTGTGGGGATCATGCCTATGATTTATCCTACTAGGGTACATGTGAATTTGTCTAAAGGTCAAATATAAATGTCTTAGCACAACAATTATGAGAGAGGCATGATGGCTATGTTAGCCAGTTGGATGAGAGTTTTTCAAACTGTATATGGAAGCAACACGCTGTATCCTATGATAGAATTAATGTACACAATTATGTACATTGTGTACAATTATGTACAATGTACATGTACAATTATGTACAATGAAGAAAAGCTAGTAATATTCTAGTCTGTACCCTTCAGTTTACAAAAAGAATTTAAATAATTACGTAACTAATAAATAAGGAAGCTCGGCTTGGCGCCTGTGGCTCAAGCGGCTAAGGCGCCAGCCACATATACCTAAGGTGGCGGGTTCAAATCCCCAGCCCGGGCCCGCCAAACAACAATGATGGCTGCAACCAAAAAAATGGCCAGGCGTTGTGGCGGGCGCCTGTAATCCCAGCTACTTGGGAGGCTGAGGCAGGAGACTCGCTTGAGCCCAGGAGTTGGAGGTTGCTGTGAGCGTGATGCCATGGCCCTCTATCCAGGGGGATAGCTTGAGGCTCTGTCTCAAAAAAAAAAAAAAAAAAAAAAAAAAGGAAGCTGGAAATAAAGCTAACATTTTGGATTTTTTGAATAGTAGACATTCCTCATCGTCATGCCATGAAATAGAGAATGTTTGGTTTCAGTGTCCCCTCACTGTTTTCTTTATGTGGGAGCCTTCCTTCCTGTCCTGGTGAATACACCCTTGGATGGACAACGCAATGCACAGAGCCACTGCTGCATGGAGTCTGTTTTCTTCCCTTTGAACAGAACTGGCTGTCCTTCCCATGTTCCAAGCTTCCTTATTTTCTGTTTCTTTTTGCTCAAAAAGAAAAAAGAAAAATTTCAGAGTGGATTGTCACTCTATCATTGGAAAGTAGCAGATTCCTTATTCCCACTGAGAACTACTTTTGCTTCCTACCATAGGTCCCAGCATGCCATATTATATTATTGTTTCCCAGAAGATATTTCTTCATTTCTCTTTAAATTTCTTTAACCTATTGGTTGTTTAGGAGCACTCTGTTTAATTTTTACATATTTGTAAATTTCCCATAGTTCCCCCCTCTATTCATGTGTAGTTTCATATCATTGTTGTTGAAAATATTACCTGACACAGTTTCCATCTTCTTACATTTGTTAAGACTTGTTTTATGGCTTACCATATGGTCTACCCTGGAGAATGTCCCATGTGCCCTGGAGAGGAATGTGTATTCTGTTGAATGGAAAGTTCCACCTGTATCTGTTAGGTCCATTTTGTCTCATGTGAAATTCAATTACAGTCTTTTCTTACGAAATTTTCTGTCTAGTTGATCTGTTCATTGTTTAAAGTGAGGTATTAAAGTCCCCCACTATTATTGTACTGCTTTTTGTTTCTCTTTTCATGTCCATTAATATTTACTTTATATATTTAGATGCTCCAATGTTGGGGCATACATATTTACAATTGCTATTTCTTCTTGAAGGACTGAGTTATCATTAAACAATGACCTTCTTTGTCTCTTGTCACAATTTTTGACATGAAGTCCCCTTTCTTTTGGTTATCATTTGCACAAAACATCTTCTTCTGTCCCTTCATTTCAGCCTATCTGTGTTCTTAGGGTGAAAGTGGGTCACTTGTAGGAAGCGTATGGTTGAATCTTTTTTTTTTTTTTTTTTAAATCCCTTCAGCTACTCTGTGTGTTTTGATTGGAGAATTTAATCTCTTTACATTCAAAGTAATTATTGATCATGATTGCCACCATTTTGTTCATTGTTTCCTGGTTGTTTTCAGATCCTTTTTCCTTTCTTCTTTCTCTTTATCTTTGTGATTTGGTAATTTTTCTGTAGTGTTAAGTTGTGATTCCTCCCTCTTTATTTTTTGTTTATCTGGTTTATAGTCAGCTTGACACTTACATAAAACATCTTATAGTTACAGTTGATTATTTTACATTGATAATAACTTTAGTCACAAGCAAAACTCTTTTACCCTCCCCCCTTGGAGTTTATTTACTAGAATATTTTGGATTTAAGTATAGACAGAGGGTGACTAAAAAGTAGACACATTTTAAGAAAGGAAAAAACTGTACTAAAATTATAATACCCAATATATACCAATAACAAAAGATAAATACAAGTCACATGTGACTTCTATAATTACAAGAGCAGCTCAAAATGGTTAACATGAGTGTCCGGACACTTCTTATTATGGCAAACAAAAAGTAATACATAAATAACATCTCTTAAAAAGTGTACACATTTTTTGGTCACTCCTGTACTTGGTTTTATCAGTGAATTTTCTGGTAGAATTTTTAAACCTCCAACAAATTAAATCCACCAGAAATTTTATGCAGACCAATTCTGAGCAGTGCTTATGGATTCTGAGAATAGTTAGGTGAGATAGTTGGATTTGAAATAGATATTAAAAGAAAATTCTTTATAAGAATTTATGTCAAATTCGTAATAACTACGAAGATATTTTGATATGTACTTTATAAACACAAGGGCACATTTATTTTTCTCCTTTGACTAGAATTCTATTTATAAAAGAACACTCTAGGCATGTCTTTTTTGTTTACTTTTATCTTTGAAAGTACTTTAAAAGAGATTTGTTGAATGCACCCATGAAGAAACCAGGATGCTTTATTTCAAAATAATAATAATTGCTTCTTGGCCTTTTGGCTAAGACCAAATGCAAAATAATAATGGTACTTTATAACTTTGTGGTTTGTTGTAGGATATAGACAGTATTATGACAGTTTCCTACTCCTAGAGAATGAATATTTTATTTTACACTTCTTTTTAACTCTTACACATCATTGAAAATAATAGTTGATTCTATATCAATATGTAATAATAGTACTTGCTAAATCATCCATGTGTAGCAATGATTTAGGATTAGTATTCTTGTCACCTATTAATTTCAACAGTGACTGTAAAGTTTCAATAAATTGTGCTACTAAGACTGGAACCCAGGGAAGCCAGAACAGGGATATGTGACATCAAGACAGACAAATGGCTAACAAACATACGAAAACATGCTCATTATCCCTGATCATCAGAGAAATGCAACAAAACCACCCTGAGACATCACCTAACCCCAGTGAGAATGGCCCACATCACAAAGTCTCAAGGCTACAGATGCTGGCATGGGTGTGAAGAGAAAGGAACACTTTCATACTGCTGGGGGGACTGCAAACTAATACAATCTTTTTGGAAGGAAATATGGAGAATCCTCAAAGAACTCAAATTAGACTTCCCATTTGATCCTGCAATCCCATTACTAGGCATCTACCCAGAAGGAAAAAAAAATCCTTTTATCATAAGGACATTTGCACTAGACTGTTTATTGCAGCTCAATGTATAATTTCCAAAATGTGGAAATAGCCTAAATGCCCACCAATCCAGGAATGAATTAACAAGTTGTGGTATATGTATACCATGAAATACTACTCAGCCATTTAAGAAGATGGAGATTTTACATCTTTCGTATTAACCTGGATGGAGGTGAACACATTCTCCTTAGTAAAGCATCACAAGAATGGAGAAGCAAGAATCCAATGTACTGAATTCTAATATGAAGGCAGTTGATGAGCTAATACAAGGGGGTAGGGGAATGAGGAGCAAGGAAAGGGGAGGAGACAGGGTGGAGGGAGGTCATGCTGTATGGCACACCTCTTGGGGGTGGGACACCAATATAAGAGGGACTTTATCTAACAAATGCAATCAGCGTAACCTAATTCTCTGTGCCCTCAATGAATCTCAAACAATAAATTTTTTAAAAAGATACACATACAGCCATTCTGGTGGCAGGTAAGGAAACATTCTTTTCCAATCCATGTGTCCATAACACGTCACTCATGCCACAGCTGCTGTGGGGCATCTCTTCTCCAGGATCATACTTGAAAAGTGCGTGCTCCTGTCCATCCTGATTTGTGGGGCTTAAAGGTTCAATGAAGTACCTTTGATCTCCTTGACTGAAGTAGCCCCTGGAAGAGATGAGAATTCACACGTCTTAACCACAGACCCTTCTGTTAGTATTATATAGCTATATATGCTCCCCAAAGGGACTATAATTTCTAGTCTGTGGCACAACAGTTTTTAAGCTCATGGCAATAAAATACAGTAAAGCTTATAGAAGATGACTTAGACACTACACAAACTTATTTTTCTCTTTAAAGAAATCAGACCTGTTAAGGAGAAGTGATGACTGCAATGTCATACAGCCAATCATGTCAATTACAGCATCAAAATGGATATTTCCTCACTCTTGGTCCATCATCCTTACAATTTTTATGCTATACCTGCTTCAAAGATACACTAAAAATGAAAGAAAATGTTAGGGTTTTATAGGTATCAAAATCCTGGGTCTATCACTTATTAGCTGTGATACCACTAGAATGTCACTTAAACGTGCATAGCCTCAGATTCTCCTTCTATAAAATGGCAATGATACTACCTACCTGACAGGATGGTGGTAAACATTGAAAGAGATAACATGTAAAGCACATGATAAATTAATATTATTAATTTCTTTTTAATGCACTCTGATGAAATCCCGAGCTAAGATTCAATCAATACTTAGTAAACACCCATTAGTCACTGCCCATTGGACTAAGGGAAGACAGTAAAAAAGGAGCCATGATCTCTTTCCACATCAGTGCATGTTAAATAACCACAGGATGTATAATTACACAGTAAATGCTTAATACTTATAATTACAAAAGATGATTGTTATGAAGAAAAAATACAAGAATGTATAGTAGGGAGACTGGAGCAAGTGTATGTATAATTGGCAGACAGCAGGGGGAATGTGGGAAGACAAATTATGTGGTTTATTGCAATAATTTGCATGAATGATCATGATAATTAAACTAGGTTGGTTTAGTAGGAACAGAATGTAGTGAATAATCTTAGGAAATTTCTAGAAGGTAAACTCCATAAGGTTTGACAAAGTACTGAAAACAGGGACCAAGAGGTGATGAGTGAAAGGTTTTATAAACAACAGAGCCCAGAGAAGAGACCTCGAGAGAGTGGAGAAGCTTATTTAGGTCAAGTTTATTGAAAGGGACAGTGACCAGTCTGGATAGTGCGAAGATGGCACAATGGAGTCTGTGCCTAGAGGCAGGTAGAGAACCAATTTGTAGGGGGCCAGAGGGACTGGGCAAATTGCACAGCTTGCTTGGAGGGCTTTGTGAGTTAGGGTCCTGTGGTGCAAACTTCAGGGGTAGGGCTAACTACGTCCTTTGTGTCCTTTGTGTTAAAGAGGGTGGGAGGGTTCATGTATGGCTGTGTTAGACCCCTCGACAATGAGTCCTCAAGGAATGCAGATTTCTGGATTGGACAAGTGGTTATTGAATTATAGCACTGATTAACATGGATAATACAGGAAAAATGACATATCTGGGAAACAAGCATTCGTTTGGTTTAAGATACATTGAGATTAAAATTTCTTTAAGCTATCTAACCAGAGATATGGGGAAAAATTAGATAGTTAAGTCTGGTCATCAGAAGAGACATCCTACTGCAGACAGATGCATGGGGACTCATTAACAGATGGAAAGAGATGTCGTCATCATGGAACAGATAACCTAAAGAGAGACTAAAATGAACACAGAAGAGAACTCCTATTCCCTAATTCTAAAACTAGGACTCAAAATCCTATATTTTGAGACAAGAAAAAAGATTTAAAAAATCTCAATTCAGATATGCACTATACAAATCATTATCAAGAGAAGTGGTGTTTCCTTCAAGTTGTAAAATTTTACGGTCCTTAGGATTCATACTCAACTATGGTATAATTAATTATGTTTGAGATTCTTTGCGTTTCTTAAATACACACACCCCATAATTGCAGTTACATACAAAACATTCCTGAAGTCGTACCTGAGACCGCTGCATGTGCTGATGCTAGCATCAGAAACTTTTTCATTAATGATGTGTCCTTGATAGTAACAGTCATCCTAAGAGGAAAAGGAAAGGGGCTTTATAAGGAAAGTCTGTGCAATTTTTAGACCCCCCCCTCTTTAAAGTTGAATTTGCAATCTTGAAATTGGATCTGTGATGCTTTCAAACTATTTTCTGCTGAGCAACTTAGAGATATTTTTAAAATAATAAAAAATAGTTCAGATGAGGTATCTCACACCTGTCATCCTAGTACTCTGGGAGGCCAAGGTGAGAGGATCCCTTGAGCTCAGGAGTTTAAGACCAGCGTGAACAAGAGCGAGATCCTATTTCTACTAAAAAAAATTTAAAAAGAAATTAGCCAGGCTTTGTGGCAGGCACCTATAATCCCAGCTACTTAGGAGGCTGAGGGAAGAGGATTGCTTGAGTCCCAGAGCTTGAGGTTGCTATGAGCTATGATGCCACAGCACTCTACCAAGGGCAACAGAATGAGACTCTGTCTCAAAAAAAAAGAAAATAATAATAATAATAAGCAAATAAAATTTTTAATGTTAGTTAATAATACCAAAATGTTTATAGGGTATTAAATAAATGTTGGCATGGCTGACATAGGATTCAATTGTATACTGTCTTTTTGTTTTGTTTTGTTTTTTGAGACATAGTCTCACTATGTTGCCCTTGGTAGAGTGCTATGGCATCACAGCTCACAGTAACCTCAAACTCTTGGGCTTAAGCAATTCTCCTGCCTCTGCCTCCCAAGTAAGTGGGACTACAGGAGCCTGCCATAACGTCTGGGTATTTTTTTGTTGCAGTTGTCCTTGCTGTTTAGCAGGCTCAGCCAGGTTTGGACCCTCCAGCCACAGTGTATGTGGCTGGCGCCCTAGCCAATGACCTACAGGTGCTAAGTGTCAAGTGTACATTGTTATAATAAACAAACTTAGATTTGCAAATTTAAAACCTGGGTCCCCACATCGCCAGACATTCATTCATCTCAGTAAATTTTTTTCTAACAAAAAACTACAAGTCTTTTTTCCAATGGACGAGTTATTCAGATTTTTTTTTTTAATTTCTTGATTCATCTAAAGAGCTGTGTCAGATTAACTGGATCAGCATGACATTTCCTGCCTGCATTTGGAACACGGTCCCATCCTAACATTTTCCCACATAGATGTTCTGGGAAAGACCTTTCTACTTTGGAATAAGGTATTGGTGCATGTAAACTCCTCCTATTGCTACAGATATGAATGCTTAAAAGGCTTCCCATTGAAAATGAAGCTCAGAAAGAAGGCAATGATAAATCTTCCCTCATACTGCTACAAACCATCATCATCATCAGCTCAGAGCAAAGAGAGGCTCCAAATAGGAATCAATGGTGGACATTATTTGACAAAAACATGGAATTCTACAATTCTCATTGAGTAAATAGAGTTTGAGAGACCACACAACCCAGAGGGGTGATAGGATTCCACGCCACCACTGAGAGCTCCAGGGGTGTTTAACTCTTCACTCTAAAGATAATAACATTCTCTTTCTCCTCACTGTCCTGTGGGGAGCCGCTGAAGGATGAAAAAGTTTGCCACAGTTGTCAAGGAATGCCTTTGCTCCTGTTAGAATGTTCACAAAAAAAAGTTGGAAGATCAATTAAGTAATTATTACTGCTGAGAAAGCCCCCGTGCTGTAAAAGCAGCTTCCCTTCTGCTATTTGCCTATTCGTAAGGAACCCAGAGACATTAATACCATGATCTGTGGGCTGGTGGTGATCTTCTTTCCAGTGGAATTATAATATGTTTCTGTGTAGCCTGGTGCAAGGAGATTCCTGGGGAAAAAAACCCAACAATGTTGTGGTTACTTGTGCTGATTGCAAAGTCTAGTGGTCTAAGTGAGAGTTGGGTTTTTTGTTTGTTTTTTTGAGACCCTTGGTAGAGTGCCATACTGTCAGAGACATTTCCATCACCTCACATAGTGGTCATTGTGTGTGTGTGTGGTGAGTATACTTAAGACCTATTCTCTTCTCAAATTTCAAGTGTACACTTCATTATTATTAAGTATAATCACCATGTGGTAATTAGGTATGTAGAACTTATTCATGTTATTACTAAAAATGTGTACCCCTTTAACCAATAATTCCCAATTCTCCCCTTCTTCTTAGTCCCTGAGAACCATCATTTTACTATTGTTGCAAGTTGGACTTTTTTAGATTCCACAAATGAGTGAGATCATACAGTATTTATCTTTCCCGTCTGGGTTATTTCACTTAGCACAGTGTTCTGAATGGAATTTCATCCATGTTGTTGCAAATGGCAGGATTTCCTTCTTTTATGTGAAAGAATGATACCCATTGTGTATGTAAATGTGTGTATATGTCTATGTGTGTGTGTGTGTATATATATATATAAACCACATGTATGTATGTATATGTGTATGTATATATACCACATATATACATGTAGATACACATATATACACGCACACATACATATAAACACATATATATACATACCACAATTTCTTTAAGAGTGTTTCCATATCTCAGCTATTGTGATTAATGAATATATTTTTAAATTAAGGAGGGTAAAAAGAAAGGAAGTATAGTATGTATAAAATGCCATCTCTATAGCAGGCACTATGTTAGAATTGTTATATGAATCATTTAATACTTTCAAAGATTTTATATAATAGATATTACTCTCCTTATTTTTCAAATGAGATCAAATAACTCAAAATGTAAAGAATCAAGCCAGATTGGCCTAAACCCAAATTCTGGCCTATTTTCATGATGCCACACTATTTCCAAACTCCAAGAATTGTGATTTTTTTTACCAAAGCTGATAGTGTATTTGAAGGGGGGGAACCCTGTCACCCTATATAGAAGGGTCTATAGATCAAAAGGGATTAAAAGCACAGAGTTAGGAAAAACTAGTTTGAAATAGTCTAGACAGATGACCAAGATCTGAGTGAGAGAGGCAACAGTGAAATTGGAAATATTAAATTGAGGTAAAGTAATATATAGGATGTAAAAAAAATGGACAGGTTAATGGGTATCTAGGTAGAAATAGCATCAGTGATACAGTCAGGATAACTCAATTTTGGTTTTACCACTAACTTCTTATTTTGCCCCTTGAGTTTTATTTCACTTGTCTTTTTTTGTTGTTTTTTTGCTGGTTTTATATACAATTCGAAATATTTTCATCAAACTGGTTAACATAGCCTTCATGGCATTTTCTTAGTTATTGTGTTAAGACATTTATATTCTACATTCAGTAAGTTTCACATGTAACCTTTTAAAATGCACCGGAGGTGTGGTCCCCCCAATTACCCTCCCTCCTCCCATCATCCCCCCTCCCCTCCCTTTCCCCTTTCCCCATATTCTTGGGCTATAATTGGGTTATACCTTTCATATGAAAGCTATAAATTAGTTTCATAGTAGGACTGAGTACATTGGATACTTTTTCTTCCATTCTTGAGATACTTTGCTAAGAAGAATATGTTCCAGCTCCATCTTTTTCTAACTTGAAAACAGTTTTAAAATCTAGCTGTTCAGTGTTATAATAATAAATTGTAATAATATAGAGAAAATAATTTAATGATAGCCAAGTACACTGGAACTTCTCTGCTGCCATTTTATAGAATAGATAAAATGTATGTTTTCCAGCATGTCATTAATTGTGCTTTATTACTCATAGCAAAAGACTGGTCAACTGTTGTTTTACCCAATGTATTTCTACTATTTCAAAAGAAACAAATACTCACTGAAATCTGTGGGTCAAGAGCAAAAGCTGGTAAGTCAAGGTTGGTGAGAACTGTAAGAAGTAACAGACTCAACTGGTACATTTTTCACATGGTACTTTACTGTTGGGAAGATTAGTGCATCAGAGGTAGAAATACTCACTTGCTTTTTTTCAAATGCAGCACTGCCATTTTCCCGTTAATTGTCATTTTATACTTTAACTCAGTTTCAAATTGCTCCTGCAAAAGTGCACAAACATTTACAGGTGATTTAAAAACATGCACAGATATTTCCTGGCTATGTCTTTCTAGTCAATCATCATCAAACAATATTTGTTCTTCTTGAACAACAGCCTGTGTAATACCCAATGTCTGTCTCTTCCCCTTTTATCAGATCAAATAATTCTGGCAACTAACTAGACAAATTACTGGAGATTCTTGTATCCATCCATCCATGCATTCAACAAATATTGTTTGCATGCAGATTTTTGGCAAGGCATTGCTTGGTTCTGGAAAATCAGCTCTAAGCAAGAAAACTTGGTACCTGCTATCAGAAAGCTTGTAATCTTGTGGAAAGACAGATAACAAAAGGAGTTGTGTTGTATATAATGGATGCATTTATGTACATATGGGTAATTTCCCTGTCTTACAGGCAGGGAAAGCTTTCTTGAGGAAGTAACATTTAAGCAGAAGTGTGAATTACCCAGGTGAAATGCACAAGGGAAGTTATCCAAGCAGAAGGAAGAACATACACAGAGGCCTAAAAACCTCTACTGTGTCATTGATGATTTTTGGCCACAAGTTCTTCTCATGGTGAAGTGGGGACTGTGAGAGACACAATAGGAATATAGACCTTAATGTGGGTAGGGATCATCAGAAAGGAACTACAGTCTCAGGGGCTCTGGAGGAAGAAATGTGACCTTAAATAAACCATGAGGAAAAGGAGAATTGTGTTCAAGTTTAGATTTAGATACGTAAGAAGAGCCATAGGGGACTGTGCAGAATTATTTTAAAGATGCTGTGGGGTAGAAAGTTTTGACTTTGATCAATACAGTTATACTCTACATCTAAAAATTCACTGGGAGGTGTCAAGATCCTGCCATTAAGGAGATTTAAATCTGGAAGGCCAAATATGGTCAAGAAACACATATTACGGTGTGAGTACTGTTTCCTCTGTTGTGTACATTTAAGGCCAAGCCTTTCCTCTCTCCTCTCTCTTCCAGACAAGCCTTTCCTCTCTCCTCTCTCTCTCCTCTCTCTTCCAGACAAGATTGCCCACAGAGGAGCAATGTAGATTGGGGTATCAGGTCACGGGTATTACGCAGGGATCTGATCTGACTGTATCCAAGTTTAACTATCATGGTCTGCATTTCCTTCAATTTATAAGTGGTTGAGGTCTGCTCTGGTGTCGAAAACACCCGGTAATGTAAGCCTCAGTGAGGAAAAGCTGATGAATTTTAGCTGATTTTTATTTTCATGGATGTCAGGAGATGGAAAAAGCCAGGGGATTGAAAATAAAAGTCACGGGGAATAGTTGTAAGCACTTATTGTTCAGGTTCAGTAAAGGCTAGGGAGAACCAAGCTATAAGAAGGCTATCACATGTGATTGTCTATCCACAAGGTCCTTGCAGATACTGGCTCCCTATCAGCAATGATTCTTGGTTGATTTAGTTCCTAAAACATTATTTGGAGGTTTGTTTTAGGAAAGGATAATTGTTTTTGGAATTTCAGCCAACACTTGGCATAGAGATTATGGCAGTGGTGTGGTGCCCACACTTCTGAAGGAGAATTCCATGGGGGAAAGCAATGCTTTCTCATAAGAAATGTGTCCTAGTCATATAATCTCTGCTTTCAGAAGTATAGGTCAGGAGATGTAAGATTAGCTAGTCACAGGAACACATAAATCAAAATTTCCTCCAAGAAAAATGCCATGGGTCAGATTTAGTGGGTGGATTAGGAAAGTCACAGCCCTGGACGGTCGTGGGTTGGAAGCAAGACTAAAAGTCAGCTTGATGATAGCAATAGGCCCACAGGAAATATCAGAGGAGTCCTGAGAAGGCCCAGGAGACGCTTGATTCTAGAAATACAACTGCTGCCCATAAAATACAGTGAAACTGAGATGTCCAGGAACCATGATAGATCTAGCTGAAGGCCTGAAATAGTTCCCAATCTGAGGGAGGCACTGTGCTGTCAGATATTCTATTTTATGATATGGGCCAATAGCAAGACAGGTTTGGTCTCTGAGGAAGTGTGCAATCTTGAGGCTGGATCAGTGAAGAGCAGTTGATTGTCTTTAGAATGTAAGTTATCAGCGAGCTTCACTAAATATTTGTGGAATGTGTATCCATGCAGGTGTACGGGCAGAGTACTCCAGTCACAATCATTCCTCCATTTGCTCAGTCAGCGGTTCTCAACCTGTGGGTCACAACCCACCAGAACTATATTAAAGGGTAGTGGCATTAGGAAGGTCAAGAACCACTGGCCCAGGTGTTCCCTTATCCATTTGTCATTTATTTAACATATACGTACTCATTTCCTCTTATGGTCATACACATAAAAGACACAGGCACAAACCATCACTGCATATATAAAAAATATTTTTTTCAAAAATCAAGAGTGAAATTGTGTAACTCTGACCATGACTGAAGCCCACTTCAGGAAAAGGAATCTATTAGTTTATGTTTGCAATATTTATTTATTTATTTATTTATTTATTTTTTGAGATAGAGTCTTACTTTGTTGCCGTGGGTAGAGTGCCAAGGCATCACAGCTTACAGAACCTCAAACTCCTGGGCTTAAGCAATTCTCTTGCCTCAGCCACCCAAGTAGCTGGAACTACAGGTGCCCACCACAATCTCTGGCTATTTTTAGAGACAAGGTCTCATTCTGGCTCAGGCTGGGTCTCGAACCTGTGAGCTCAGGCAATCCATCCACCTTGGCCTCCCAGAATGTTAGGATTATAGGCATGAGCCACTGTGCGTGGCTGAAATAGCATTATTTAAAAAATAAAAGAGCATACCAAGGTTGACTAACAGGTTATGCTGAGAAGTTGAAAAGAAATTAAAAAGACTTCGTAACTGGGATATAAAGCCACAGAGAAAGCCTTTAAAATTAGAGGTAGAATCTGATGAATCACAACATGGAGCAGTGTTACAGCGTAATGTTATGGGGAGTTACTATTTGTAGCCTGTTGCATTTTCCATATGCATTAGCTCAAAATAGCCTTGTCATACAAGCATTATCATCATTACTTACAACGACAGACAAATCTTTTAAAGTTTATCGCGTCTAAATTTCCACAGGGAGAACTGACAAAGCTAAAACAAGAACACAAACTAGTCCTCTGAATTCAGCTCCTATACACTTCCACTATTGATTGGGACAGCCTAGACTCATGTAGTCATTCAGCCTAGAAGTGAAGTAGATAAATAATGTTATCTGCTATAAATATCAAGCACATTATAGCAATCACATCCACTTAATCATTGTGAAAATTAATGCTGTTCATCTAGTACGTACCAGTAAGTAGTCTGTTTCTTTTTTCCTGAAAAATGCTTTCCTTTGCAAGTAGTCTATTTTTTTTTAATCAAAGTAAATTGTTTGAGGATTAAATTTACTTATTCAGTTTGGAGAAACATTACTTGATAGTTGTGGTTAAAAACACTGTAGTTTTCTTCAAAATGTTCAGCAAAAAAATGCGCCTGACATTTTTAAGAGCCTATAATAAAGCTATTTTGAAGGAGAATTCTGTGCACATGAGTTCTGTCTCAAATTAATGAAACATTGTGCTAACAGATAACTTTTGTTCAAATGGGTCTATATGGGATTGGCTATTACAAATTTGTTTTAGCAGAAATTCTATGAGAAACTTTGTCCAGTGGGGAATATGTGATCCTGGTGAGCTAAATTTTAGAATAATTGTGTAAGTTATTCCTTATATCTTACCTGTATTTTCCTAGACCTCAGCAAAAGACTTCAGAGTGTAGGTAATTAAAACATTGTTGAATAAATCATCATGTTTTAGCTTTTCTCTTATAACTAATAAACATTTGTTGAGTGAATATTGAGAATGTACTGCTTCATTTGTAGTAAGAATTCTGTAAACTTTAATAGTTGCTTATTTGAAAAAAAACATAAATTTCATGTTGATGTAGAAATACACATACATTAATCAGCAATATTTTATTTTTTACTTTTGTTTTAATGTTGATAACCATGGATGTATGAACAGGTAGATGGATAGGTAAGTTATAGTCCATTTTTTTCTGAAGTATAGAGACTTAATCATTATAAAATATGAAAGTTTGTACTCTGCTTTACCTTAGACATTTTATTTACTTCTCAGAACCTTAATTTGTAAAATGGGGCTAATATTTGAACTCTGGGTCATAGTGAAGATTAAAAAAGACAGGTTGAAGAACAAATAAAAATATAGTCATTATTTAACAAGATGAAATAGCTGAAAAATTCACAAAGTCTACTTAATAAATTAAATATAGAGAGAGATACACAAGGTCTGACAATTAAGTTCATGAAGTCCTTCTAGAAAAAGTGCTACCTAACTCATTGCTGAATATTACTCTAGTCACCTTCAAAGTATTACATGGCCCCTTGGGAAGCTATGCATTGATGTTAGTGCCTCATCTATCCTTCAAAGCAATTTTGGAACTCTTTTTCTGGAATGACCATTAGACCTGTGATTGTATGGCATGTGAAAACATGCAACATGCAAGACATCACCACATGTCAGCACAAACACAGCTGTGAGATGTTGATATACCAAAATTATGAAATGCAACCACATTGTTTGTATGGTGCTGCCAATGTAAGGACACAGTGGCAAGTTCAGGGGTGTAATTGTCAGACCTTGTACAAATCTCAGGTATAGCACTCATCATTTGACATACATAAAATATATATTTGATAAAAGTACATATGTATTTATATATTTGCATATTTGATTTTGATACGTCAGAATCTGTACCTTCTGCTCTGGCTCTTTGACTTCTCTTTTGTGTAGTAGATGATGAAATTTTATGGGATGAACCACTTCATAATTCTTTATCCCAGTACTAACTGAAAAAAAGAAGAAAAAGAAAAAAATATCCATTTTTAAAAATTTTCTTTGGAAATTAAAGCAGAAACTTTCAAAAATTACTAGTAATATCAAATTTCTATTGTTCTAAAATGGCTTTGATTCATTTGACCACTCAAAACCCATTATATCTAATTCTGAAGATGAGAAAAAGAGGTTAAAATTGACTAAGAACTCTTTGAGTCAAATGGGATGTCAAAGTAATGAAATACCCTTCTTTTAATGGCTTGAGAGTCTAAAAATATTTTTCAAAATAAGCCACCTGCACTGATGCTATAATATCTTAATTTTGAATAGGATTTGGGTTTTTTAATTGTTTGAGAAAAGGGAGCAGATTAAATGGTCTTTGAAGTTAGTTCAACTAGTCTATGATTTTATGCAAATAAACAGGTAATCCCTTGTAACCCCAGGATCATTAGGATAGCTAATTTCTGTTAATCACTTGTGATAAAATGAGCCTCATCACACTGACAAACTTCAAGAACAACACCACAAGCTTCTTCAGTTACTCGTTTCTTGCTCTCATGGAGGTAATCACTGGGCATCCTTCATTTCTATTTAATAATTTTTGGTAAAGGAAATTAATAACAGCCTCTACAAAGAACATTTTGTAACAGAAGTTTAAAAGCCTAAAGGAACATTGAATGGATCATCTTTCTCTCTACTGAGTTAAAATTCTTAATTATCATAATCATTTCAAAACAAAGATGCCAGAGGTAAGAAAATTACCCTTGCCAGAAATTAACCGGTGGTATTGACAGAATTCCCAGATGCCTTCTTTAGTGACAGGAAACAAGTATACCATAAGGTACCAACATGCTGCCTGGTGTATTACGGTGACTAATCAATGCAATTAGTCTTGCTAACATGAGTTCATGAAGCCAACGTTCACTAGTGCTGCTCCCAAGGTAACTCATTCAAAGCTGCTGTATTTGTGGTTTTCATTCATCTCATACATGATTCTAACAGGAAATATTAGTCCAAACTACCTTCAGGTCATAAAATAACAACTGTCCACTTGATTCTTTGTATAAAAGCAGAAATAAACACTCCCCAGTCAGAGGGGAAATAGGCTAATCTAGCCAACACAATCTTTTTTGATACCCACGCTGACCTCTATGCTTCTAGTTCACTTGTGAATTCTAATGTTTCATGAAATCATAAATTATCAACTAGATCTTACTCAAAATATGTACATTAGTTATGAAATAGATTTCCACCTCTTTGGTGGCTAAGCACTTCCGAATAGAAACCAAAAACTAAGAACTCTGGCATAACAAAATAATATTTCTTTTAAAAGCGTTTGGCTGGCCAGGCACGGTGGCTCACATGTACAATCCTAGCACTCTGGGATATCAAAGCAGGAAGATCATTTGAGTTCAGGAGTTTGAGACTAGCCTGAGCCAAGTGCTAGGCTTTACTAAAAATAAAAGATTAGCTGAGCATGGTGGCAGGTGCCTGTGGTCTCAGGTACTCTGGAGGCTGAGACAGGAGGAAAGTTTGCATCCAGGAGTTTGAGATTTCTGTGAGCTAAGTAAATGCCATCGCACTCTAGTCTGAGTGACAGAGTGAGACTCTATCTCAAAAAAATAAATGGATAAAAATTAAACGAAATAAATAAAAACCTTTGGCAATCTTTCACTCCCTTCAATTTGAAGTGAACGGATTCCCAGCTCTTTCAAATCCTTCCCACACAGTATGTTCTCTAGACAAATGAGACAGAATTGCCCTGAAAGGCTTTTATTCTCCTGAAACTTAGAAGGTAACTGAAAAAATGAGATCTAAGCTGTAACAAAATTACATGGCAGTTACAGGGACGTAACAGACCTAAACTTTGGCTTATTTATCCTCAGGTTTCATAAGACAGCACAGCCTCCTCTCAGCTGAATAACATCAGGTTAATTATTTTGAACCCTGTGGGAACAAACGTAACACTAACTGTCATCCAGGCATTACACAAACGCAAGGTGTAATGCAATCTGTTTCTCCTACTTCACTTCAGCGCTTGCTTTCTCTCTGCCTCAGAACTCACATGTTGGGTTAGTTTTGACCAGCAAAACTGGATGAAGAAAAAGAAGACTGCATTTTTATTTGGATTGGGTAATAATTTTTCCCGTGTATTAGTCTTAGAAAATCCAAAGCCCATGAGCAAGGTTAATATAACAGACATCTGTCTGGATTGCTCCTTTATTTGTTAATGTCTTTGCGATGAGAACACTTGTATGTAATACTGACATTTTCATTTTTGTTCAAAACTGTTTAAAGCCATGTCTTTCGAAACTGAACACATGAGATTAAGTCCTGAATTAGGGCTTATGCAATGACTTTGACTTAAGTTCTGAGATTTTCTGAATCACCACGAACTGTGATTTAAATTTCATGCAGTAGAAGTGAGTCAAAGCATTAAGGAAAACAACGCATCCTAATTATGTCTATGATTTTGGCTATTAAGGTTATAATACTTAATATATTCTTTTGGGTCTTCTAGCTACTATATAAAGGTAATAAAGAACTGAAATAAAATAATTTCAAAACTACCATTTCCCTTGGATATTCTGCTGAAATGTGCCATAGACCTTTCTCCTTAGTCAGCGCATTCACTCGCATCCTCACCCCCAAACACCCGTCACATTCTTTTAAACGTTTATTTTTTTCTTTTCCTAGCATGGAATCCCATAAACCATTTGCTCAGGGGATTGTGAAGCTCATTACAAATAGTGACCTTGTTTTATGTCTTATTGTTGCATTTCAGGGGTCTGGGAAGTGGGCGAAGGTCATCAGAGAGGCTCACACGTATTCCTTTGATGATGGGAGTAGAGAATGAAATGGGGAGAGATGGGGAATGAAAATTGCTTTCCTTCTTACACTGCGGCTGGAAAATAAACCCAAATGAGAATCATAACAGGGGTATTTCAATGGCCAAGGAGACACCATTGAAAATGTAAGTTTGGAAGGTAAGGGAGGGGCCCCGTTTCACTTTTAGGCATGACTGCTAAGGAACACGATGTCTCTTGGTGCCATGTTGTAAATGCACTCAGATGGGGTGTCCCATTTCACTGAATGGGCTGTAATGTGCACGGACTCCCCTGTCAGCCAAGTCTGTGAATGGGTCCGGCCTGACCTTCATGCTCTTCAACAAGCTGGTACGAAAGCAGTTCTTATGCTTTGGCTAAGAAAAGGATCCCAAAGTGTTGTTGGGGATAGTACTTTTGGAGAATGTAAGAGGGGAAGACTCCTAGTTTGACTCAAAAAGTAAGAATTCCACATCAATAACTTACATGCCTGGCATGAGTGCATCAGTGCTATATGCGAAGATAGTGAGTAAAAATTTTATGACATTAGAAAACAAATCAGGAACAAATCAAAGGTAGGAAAACCGATTTTAGTGACAAAGTACTAAGCAGGCACTTGGAAGGGGAGGATCCTTCTCTCTCTCACCTTTTACCTCTTTTGATAATCTATTCATATCCCCAAGTCTAAGACCAAAGCAAAGGCCTGAAGGCTAATGTACTGACTTCAATAGCTCTGGAAATGGAAATAATCTGAAGAAATCTGTTACCCATCTAACTGAAGCAAAATCTAATTAGAGAATTTACCGGAAATGCAGAGGCATGCTAGACATAATTTGTCATTAGGAAGTGGTATGTTTTTCTACTTTTAAACTCTTGATAAGGCCAGCAAACCAGAAACAGCTTATCAATTTAAGCTTAACAGCAATGTTGTTTTGTCAAGTAATATCACAGTATATTACCAGTAAAAAAAAAGAATCGGTCAACTGTTTCATTTCAGTTACTCACATTTATTATCATTAGCAATGAAAGGATTAGATATAAAAATATGTACCCAAGGCTCGGCACCCATATCTCAGTGAGTAGGGCTCCAGCCACATACATGGAGGTTTGCGGTTCCAGCCCAGCCCAGGCTTGCTAAACGACAATGACAATTGCACACAAAAAATAGCTGGGCATTGTAGTGAGTGTCTGTAGTCTCAGCTGCTTGGGAGCCTGGGTCAAGAGAATCATTTAAGCCCAAGAGTTTAAGGTTGCTGTGAGCTGTGACATCACAGCACTCTACCAAGGGCGACATAGGGAGACTCTGTGTCAAAAAAAAAAAAAAGTACCCAAGAGGAACAAAAGGAGTCAAATTAACCCTGATAATAATAGGTATTTTCCAAAGCCTTCTATACAGCAATAACCAGTCAAATATGCCCTGTCATCACCACTCTAAAAACAGTGCAGTGGGTTTTAATGAGTTTCACTTTTTGACTCCAAACACATTCACTGATGCTATATGAAATTTTCCCTTTTATTTCTAAATTCTCACATCAGACACATAAACATTAGTTCAATGCCTCCTACTGCCTCTTTAACACTGAGTCTTTACATTTCCACAGCCCCCACGTTTACAGAAACCAGCCCAACTGGTTGGTAAAAGTGGTTGAGAAAACAAAACAAAACAAAACAAAAAAAACAATTAAAACATGTCATACAATAAAATTATCAGAAGAAAATGAAAAGCAGGAAGTTCACCGGTGTATCTAACAGAACCTGGAAAAGGGTTGAACACCGACCTGGACCTGGAGAGAGGAGGAGAGTGACCATGAGAAGAAGCCCTGGCACCATGCTGGGCGGTTCCAGGAACACAGCTCTTGCCCGCTTTGCTCCAACTGGGCTGCTGGGTCTGTCCCTGAGACCTTTCAAGTGAGACAGAACAAAACTCCCTGGTTCATTCTTGTCTCCGCTTCAGGAAGTGTTTACCAAAGGTGTTGCACAACCTCGAAGCTGTGGTCCTACAACAATGGCACAGGAGAAGGAAGTCCTGGCTGCCTCCTGGCTCTCAGATTCCTTGTTTTTCTCTGCTTCTCCATACTTCCCACTCTGAAGTAGCACATCTCCTGTCTATTACCATAGCCTGGGAAGCTACAAGGAGGTCATTGCTTTGATGAATCTTGAAAAAGTGCCAGTTATTTATCATATACATGATATTTAAATATATGTATGTTTTATGTAGATATAAATTTTTTGCTATGCCAGCAAAAAGTTATGAAGAATGTGATTCTTCCCTTACATACATAATGTGGTTCTGTGGAGCAATTTCTAATTCTGTCCAATTAGAATGTAAAATTCTCTAATTCTACTGTCTCTAGAATTAGAGAATTTTACATACTAAAATTCTCCCCAATCTTCTCATGTTTCATTCTTACACAAAGGTGAACTCAGGGAGCTCAAACTATCTTGAAATAAGAACAAGTGACAAGAAAAGCACAAGGTTTTTCTGATGCCTGGGAAGGGTGGAAGGTGGTATATTTGTATTGTAATTGACAAACATGAGAAAATCTTCAAAACCCAAAGGATAAAATTTCCAGAGAAATTGCCAGACTCAATACTGGTGGTAGAGAGGCTAAATTACAAATGTCCAGAAATCATACTGTATAATCAATAACATACCTGGTATTAAATGAGCTGCCTACTAAGTTTCCAGGACTCTCCTAAATTCATCGTACATATACTTCCAAGTTTACTAGTATTTGTAAGATTTCTATTAGAAATACCATGTCACCCTCATTTTGTAGGCAAAAACATTGGTGCTTAAAAAGATTTAGCAAGTTAAGGCTCAGATTTCCTCATTGTACAGATTGGGAAGATTAAGCAGATAAAGTTCCTATAAATTGCAGAGTGGAATTTGAACTCAGTCTTGTCTGAGCTCTGCTCATGAACACTAATGCTTCCACAATACTTAGCTGCCTTGTATTCTCAGGCTTAGTTCTACTGAGAAGATGCCTATGGAATAGAAATAACTGTGAAAATCCTATGGAAAAGAGTTGCCACTGAGGACAAGTTATTATTACAAAACACATTTCCACTAACATTAGGCATTATCTTATCGATTCCAAAGCAAATTCTCCTATTAGAGTGATTTCAATGAAAGAAGATGCTTCTAAGTGATCATAAAGGCATTAGCTAATAGTCACAAGGGAACTTGTGAATGTAGTGATTGAGATTTCAGACATCAGGGTCAGGTGTCTCTCAGATTTCTTGCCTCTTCTAACCCATGGTCTGTTCCTTCTCCAGGGAACAGAAAGGATGCTTCCACTTTTCATTCCTTTTTTTCCTCTCCACTAATTCAGTATACATTTATTAGCACCGATAGGGTGTCCCAACAGTCACCCTTAAAGTCACTATACATAGGAAAATGGAAAATTTTGGCTAAATACACCTTTATTTACTAACTCTTCATTACAAAATTTTATAAAATATTTACAAAAAAATATTTACAAATTACATGTTGGCCGCTGACTGTCATGAATGAGAACTTAACCATGGAAAAAAGTGAGGGAACAGCACTTTAGGTACAGGGAACAGAAGATGCAAACAGTTCGGGCTGAAGCACTCTTGATAAACGGAAGAACAAAGCCAGATCTATGTTGTTGAAGCTACTGAGGAACAAGCAGGAGAAAACAATGCAAGTTGTTTCATGTTTTTAAAAGATTATTCACTCAGTAAAGAAAGTAATAGAGTCAGAAAAAGATCAGGAATGAAAGGGGAAAGAAAGACCAATTCAGAGGCTACTAAAACCCATTATCTAAGAGACCATGGGTCGGTATGGTAACAGTGAAAAATGGAGGCCAGGGCTCAGCCTGCAAAGTATTTAGGAAGTAGAGATGACATTTGGTAATGCTTTGACGTCCCTGATTCTTGTGTGAGGATTTTAGTAGGTAATTATCCCCTGAGAAAGGGGATTCACAAAGTGGACCAGTTAAGATTAAAAAAATATATATAATTTATATATCATATGTTATATATATTATAATATATAAATATATATTATTTATAGATATTACATATTATATATGTTATTATATGAGATATAATATGTAAAAAAATATATTAATTATATAAAATATATATTTATTAATATGTCATATATTAAAAATATATAATGTTATTATATATATGTTTAATTTGGAACATGTTATATATTAGGCAGAATATCCAGTTATTAATTCAAAACATGGTTTTGGAACTCAAAATGAAGATCTATTTCAAAAAATAATAGATAACATAAATAAAATTGCTATGTATCATTCTCTGGGTATTAATTTTATTCAAGAGCTTAAAATATTAGCAGTGGTAATTAAAGACATCATCTTACATGAATGAGAGACCGTATCTTGAACTCTGCCCAAGATGGGCTATAATTAAAGCACCAGAAGGATCTCACTGTGACTCTGTTTCCTCCCTAGGACCACATCCTCTTGATTCCCAGGTGCCCTAACTAAGGCAAGGTAGAACTGTATATGTGAACGATTTTATCCTTCCTCTAACCAACCTTACAGACTCTCTTTTCTGCCTAGGATTCTTACTCTTCTTTCTGCTGCCCATTTTGATTATTTCAAAGAATGTCATGTGGGAAGAAAAGCAAATAGAGTTTGGATTGAAGGTCGAAATAGGAGGGAAGATGATGCCCTTACCACCTACCAAGCTCCTGCCTCAGGTCCAGAGAACGCAAGGTCTGGGCCAGGGGTGAACGGAGAAGGGAACAAAAGCTCACAGGGTGATGAGAATGTGCCGGTTGATTCACACCAGCACATCTCAGTCTTCATCACAACCCTGAGATGGAAGTATCACTGAAATGCCAAAGACAACAGAGTTTTTCCGAACACACGTGATACACTTGGGGGCCACTGAGTGTGGGCTCTTCAATATATGCTTTTATTCAATTAAAACATTATTATCTAAATGGCTATGCTCTTACAGTTATTTCTGGGATGGACAGAAGTACCATTCCTTCAATCCCCCAAACAAATTATACAGTCATTGAGAAATGAGGCACCATCTTTGTCCTCCCAGTACCAGGAATGAGTTGCACAGAAGCGGCCCTGAGTGAACACTCTAGTGATGCTTTCATGGGCTGTGTTATGGGGTTTAAGGAACTCAGGCTTCAAAATGGTTAACATACTCCTTCTATCTGTTCTATAAACATATTGTATATGTATTGAACGTTTATCTGATCACTTCCTTCACTGTGTTAGGGTAACAGAAAAATAAAATGCAAACTTAGAGTTGGATAGTAACCTCCAAGAGAGGACAATCTGGTCAGTATCAAAGTCAAGATTTTTTTTTTTTTTTTTAGATAGAGTCTCACTCTGTTGCCCTGGGTAGAGTACTGTGGTATCATCATAGCTCCCAGAAGCAACCTCAAACTCTTGGGCTAAAGTGATCCTTCTACCTTAGCCTCCTGAGTAGCTGGGACTACAAGTACCTGCTACAATACCTAGCTTTTTTTTCTATTTTTAGTAAAGTCAGGATCCCACGTTTGCTCAGGCTGGTCTGGAAATCCTGAGCTCAGGCAATCCACCTGCCTCAGCCTCCAGGGTATAAAGATTACAAGCATAAGCCACTGTACATGGCCTCCAGGGTCAAGATTTTTAACTATTTTCTTTTATATTAAACAAATTGTCAACCACTAAGAATCATTCTAATCAAACTACCTTATCATAGGTGCCCATATATTAATATGACATTTTTTTAAAAAATCTCAAAAAAAGCATTCAGTCCACCATAAAAAAAATTGCCTGAAATCTAGAATGGGTTTTTGTCAAGATGATAGCTACATTGTTACTAAAGGATAAAACCAAAACCAAATAGCCCAAAATAAGAAGATAGATAGGCAAGTACTGTACCACATCTTCTCAAAAAAATATTAAATCACAGTATAAAATTACCTTTACAATGAATGATTATATTATAGGAACTCTTTATTTTAGACTATTAGGCAAAAATAAGGTAATAAAGTTATATATACAGAATGACCAAAGCTAAATGAAAACTTCAAAATCTTATTTTGAAGAATAAAACCAAAAATAGAAAAAAATCCAAAATATTCTAAGTGCTACTTTGTTTTTGCCTCTTCTATTTCTGCATTTCTTAAGTAGTGGTATTACTTTTGTAATTTAAATAACTTAGTAGAAGAGGCCATTATGAGAATTTCCCCATCATAATCTGAATCTATTATTCCTGGATGTACATTAAGGCCGTCCATTGTTAGACTGCTTCTTCCTAAAATTAATCCTATAGTTCCTGTTGGAATTGGACCATAGATTCCAGTAGGGAGTTTTTCGGGAGAAGTATATGGAGTAATTTCAGTATCCAATAATAAAGGAAGATCAAGAGCAGCACTTGCTTGAGTGGCATGAAATAAATCTTGAACGTGTAACTGAGTTACAGGCTGAGAACTTAGTGTTTGAGAATTTAATTTATCAGCCAATGAATTTACTGTGCTTGCTCCTGATTCTTCTGAGCATGCTCAGACCCACTGCTGACTGGGTGGCTCGTATTTGTATTGCCTGGGCCCCGAGCTGGGCCCACTGACCTGTTTCCCGATGGTTGTTCAGTTTTAAGAGGCAAAATATTTCCATCTTTGTCCCTAAGGGATCTACACTCATTGGTCCAATGTCTGCCTTTTCCACAACTGCGGCAAATTCCAGAGGGTTGAGTGTTAGTTTCCTCCTTGATGTTACTATTATTGCCACTGGTATTGTTTTTATGACATTCTTTCCTTGTATGCCCCAGTTTACCACAATTATAGCACTTTGGTTTATCTTTAGCTACCTGTGAGGCTG